TTCTCTACATCATCAAATGCATGAGAGTTGTTGAGCTACAAACACTCATCTTCCGCTAACTTTTGTCCAATGCAGTTGTTGGTGCCTGGATGCTTCCATATCTTTTTTTTATCTTTCAATCTTCCCTCTATACAAGTTTTCTTCTCTCAGATCTTGTCATTCATTTATGTTGATTCATGCAAGTATGTTATTATGGTCTAGAAAATGCACTTCAGCCATCATGAGGTAAGTTTAAACTCCAGGTTCTATAAACACTTTTATGCATGCATGTTGTACGCTTGAATTATATTCTTATACTAATGTCACACATGAAGTTTTTCAACTGGATTTCATTGAAATTTTAATTTAATGTGAAGATATTGGTTTAATATGGGATATTGGTTGTTCATGGGCTACATGTTTGTATTTATTTGAAAGAAGTCATCATATAAAATAGATAAATGTTAGTGATTTGATACTTTTGTCTTTCTTAGTATTATAGTTAAAATGCATATTCCATTTAAAATCATCTTAAATCTATTCCAGATTTCGAACGTGCTTTCTTTGAGGAATTCATCTATACTTCTTAAAAGTTGGAGACTTTAGGATGTGGTGGAAGTTCAAGTGATATAAAATTTCAACTCTTTTAGGTATGCATTATGTCGTTTTAGCTTTGTGATTTTTTAAATTGCATAGTTTTCTACGTTATACTTTTTTACTTTGTAGTAATCTACTTTGTAGTTTTCTACCTTGCATAGTTTAAATTTTTGTGTATGTGATTTTATTTAGTAAACCAAATTAGAATGAAAGAACCCAGTAATCAGACTTCAGCTTAAACTTATACTGTGCGTGAGAAAGTAGACATTCTTTGGAATCATTTTGATGAAGTTAAAGGAGTTGATGGGAAGAAATAATTTAAATATTTACAATATAGTATTTCATACAATGGAGGAGGAATTAATAGAATGAAGTAGCTTCAATTATTTTGGACTTGAAGTTTTGGGATAATTATCTTATTATTTCTAAGATATGAGGCCCTTTGATTAGGTTGTTGCGTATTATTGACTCTGATAAAAAAACATCTCTTGGATATCTATATGATGGTATGTACAGGACAAGGAAGATAATTAAAGCTATGTTCATAAATGTAAAGAGATCATATAAGCCTTTTACTATAATAATAATAATAAATGGGATACTCAATTAAGGCAAGGCATCCATTCAAAAACATATTTTCTCATTCCTCATTTTCAGTTTGATAGAGAGAATTATTATTAAAAGTCATAAATTTTACAATGTCTATTTGAAATAATTGGAAATAAAGCCCACAGTTGCAATGAATGAAGTCAGATTATTTCATGATGGCTTAGAAAGCTCTGGAAAACCAATTGCACTGACAATGACGAAAGAAATGCAACCTGGTAATTCTCTTTTTTTACTTTCAATATGTGTATATAGTTATTCAAATATGTTTATTCATGAAATCTTCAAACTTGATAATATATAGATGAGTGGTGGAAGATGTTTGGATCAAGTACTCCAAACTTACAGAAAGTTGCTATAAGAATTTTTAGCCAAACATCATCTTCATTAGGATGCGAGAGAAATTGGAATGTTTTTTGAGAGATTCACTCAAAGAGACGGAATTATTTGGAGCATCAACGACTCAACGATCTTGTATATGTTCGATATAATCTGAATTTAAAGAATATGTAAGATCTTACATTAAATTAATATTTATGTACAAGTGTCAATTTAAGTAGTATGTATAATCTTAACATAAAATTATTTATTCATTTTTCAGGTTTCAACTTAAAAAATACATTATGACCCTCTGGACTACACTTGTGTTGAAATTGTTGATTTTTTGATACTTGAAGATGAAACAACTCCAGAACTTGACCTATAGGATTTGGAAAATGACATATACAAAAAGGACGCAATACCAATTGTTGAAGAACAAAATATATCATTTAATCAGCATGGACATTGTAAGTTGATAATGAAATTTGAGTATATTATTTAATTGAAAGCAAAAATAATATCTTATTTTATATTTCTTAATTGTTGGTGAAGGTGACTTTGAGAATGAAGGAGATGTAGGCGATATAATCGGCTCGATCAATCGGATGCATTTGGGTTTAATTAAACATTTTGGTGAAGCGAGACCTGGAGACTCAACTTATATAGATAGATTTAATTATGCTAATTTAGGAGATCTTTGAAACTATTGAACTGACAAATTGAAACTTTAATTTTAATTATGAATATGTTTTTTTATTTAAAAAATAATAATGAACTAATTAATTAGATATCAAATACTTATTAAATTAACAACTAAAAAATAATTTGATATTTAATACTATAATTAATAATTAAATTATTTAATAACTAAGATAATTTTTAATTATATTATTTATCATTATAACTTATCAATTTAATTAAAATTGAAATTCATAAATAACTTTTTACTCAATACTTAAATTAAATTAAAAACATAATAAATTCAAGTTTTAAATAAACTAATTACCTTAAATTCTAAATTACATTCCCAAACAGTTCCATAAGATTTAACAGGCAAACAATTTACATTTAGGCCGCGTTTGGGACGGCTTTCTTTCTGCTTCTCAAAGCAGCTTTTTAGTATAAAATAAAAAAATTTTGTACTAAAAAATTACTTTGAGAAGCAGAAAAAAAATTGTCCCAAACGAAGCATTAATCACATAAACTTTTTGATAAAATTAACAACCTACTTTAAAAATTTTATTATGATTTTAAAAAATTAATAGAGATAGATAACCGTACATTAATAACATAAAAAGACGCAGAATAAACCATATCATACTTCACTTAAACGACTAAGACAAAACAATTAATGTTCCAGCGAGAATCATAACAACTTCAAATGACTAAGCAGATAATAATATAACACGTGCAATATTGGTGAGAAAAAACAAAACTGAAGTGATAAGGTGATAAGATAGAAAAGCAGGTCAATTTCGCAATTTGTAATACAGCAATTCCCCACTGCCTTAATCAAAGTTTAAAAAATCTTTTAATGTGTTTAGTCATTTATCTTTTCATGAGGAAGGGAACAACCACTCGCTTACGTTTCAGAAACCATTATTTTGTTAAAAAATGTTCTACCAACTTTTTCTGGAACGTGAAGAATGAGCGTGTTAATTTATATTTTAAAGAATAAAGTTGAACAAGATTGTGCGAATTATAGAGGAATTAAGTTAATGTGTCATACTTTAAAATTATGGGAGTGAGTTATGAAGCATATGTTGCGGTGTGATGCTGAAGTTTCTCAAAATCAGTTTGGATTCATGCAGGGAAGGTCAACTATAGAAGTCATATGTTTATTAAGAGGTTTGATGGAGAAAGATAGAGAAAATAAGGAGGAACTACGTATGATATTTATTGATTTAGAAAAAGCATATGATAAAGTTCCAAGAGAAGTGCTATGGAGAGCTCTTGAGAAGAAATGAGTTAATAACGTTTATATTCAAATCATTAAAAATATGTATGCATGAGCTATTACTTGTGTTCAAACACAAGGTGATTTGACCATGTATTTTCCTATTTCGGTTGGGTTACATCAAGGATCACCCTTAAGCCCAAATCTTTTTGCTTTAGTCATGGATGTTCTCACTAGACATTTGCAAGAGGCTGTACCTTGGTGTATGCTTTTTTGCATATGATATTATTCTTGTTGATAAGACTAGAGAGGGAGTTGAAGGTAAACTTGAATTATGGAGGTTAACCTTAGAATCTAAAGATTTTTGCTTGAGTACATCTAAAACGGAATATATGGAGTGTAATTTTAGTAGAATAGGCCTAGTGAGGGGATTGTGATTTTAGACGATCAAATCATTAATAAGAGTACACGTTTTAGATATCTTTGATATATTGTTCATAGTGATGATGAAATAGATGAAGATATTATCAGCAGAATTCAAGTTGGAGGGTTGAAGTGGAGGAATGTATCAGGCTTATTGTGTGATAAAAAAGTACCCCTCAAACTTAAGGAAAAATTCTATAAGATGGTGGTGAGGACTGCAATGCTTTATGGTGTCGAATGTTAACCATTAAAAGATAAGCATAATACCAAGTTAAGTGTGTCAGAAATGAGGATGCTCAGATGGATGAATGGCTTTACCCTTAGAGATAAAATATGAAATGAGCATATTCATGAAAAAATTGGAGTAGCTCCAGTAAAAGATAAGATTAGGGAGAGTCGCCTTAGATGGTTTGATCACATAAAACGACGACCTTCCAATGACCCGATTAGGAAAGTAGATATTTTAGATTTGACTTATGTTAAGAAAAATAGAGACAAACCTAAAAAGACTTTAAAAAATATTAGAAATGATCTTTCTTTATTAGATTTAAATGAGAATTTGACTTTTAATAAGACACAATAAAAAAAAAGTTTCATGTAGCCGACCCCACGTAGTGGGAAAAAGACTTGTTGTAATTGTTGCTGTAAAGACTAAAGAATAAGGCTTCATTTGGGACAATTTTTTTATTATTTTTAAAACAAAATTTTAGTATACAAATTAAAATTTTTTTATTAAAATTCCATTTTAAGATGCAATAAAAAAATTATCCCAAACGAAACCTAAGTTTCTTTCTCACAACTACAGCAGACATCACTTTTAAGGTTTTGTTTATGACAACTTTTTTGTTACTTCTAAAAATAGCTTTCTAGTTTCAAACTTAGGCTTCATTTATGACAGCTTTTTTATGCTTCTTAAAGCAATTTTCTAGTACAAAAAATTTAATTTTTTACTATAAATCTACTTTAAGAAACAATAAAAAAGTCATCCTAAACAAAACCTTAAAATATTTATACTAAAAAATTATTTTAATAAACAGTAATAAAACCGTCCAAAAAGAAGCTTAAGTTAGGCTTATTAAAGGACCTACAACTCTGTGCTTCTTACTTGGCAAAGCTTTTGGAGCTTCATCTCCTATACACACAAGAAGACCAAGAAAAGCAATTTGCAGTCAAAAGGTTAAGGAGAAAGAAAATGCTTGAAGAACTTGAGAGCATTACACCATCTGTAGCATCCTAAACAATAATATAGAGTCATAATAAACTTCAGCAGGCATGTTTGTAATGTATCGGTTTACTTCTATTAAGGTCAAAAATAGTCCTATTAGGATCTCACAATGAGGAAATCTTAATTTTATAAGCATTTCTTTTTTCCTTTGAGAGCTGTAATCTGCTGCGGGGGAACTCCAATCCATGCTTAGGCTGAGCGTATCAGGAAACCGTTCAGCCACAAATAGTTGCAAAAAGCTTTTGAAGTAGGATGCTACAACTTAAGAAAATAGAGATTTATGGCATAAACTTGGTTGGAAGAAATTGCTTTGAGAGTTCCATCATTCTTTTCTAGTCTTTATGAGGACGGCTTCGTTTAGATGAATGGAAGAAACTTGGATCCTGTTCGAGTGCGTTCTCTTCGACGCCATCCACTCGATTCCTCTTCCTGCCTCTGCAAATTATTTATTAAAATTATATGCAAACGAAATTAAATAGCAAAAAGAGGAAATAAGGGGATGCCTATTCCATAAAGCTCCCATTTAAATACGCAGTAAATACTCACAAAATACGCATTTGTGAGTATTATTGAGTATCTTGTGAGTATTTGTTGAGTATTTTGTGAGTTTTTTGTGCATATTTTGTGAGAATTTGCTGATTTGTTGCGTATTTTGTGAGTGCTTACTGCGTATTTGAAAATACCCAGTAAACACTCACAAAATACAAAGCAATCTGGATGTTCTTCCCGTCCGGACTCCGCGCCGAATAATTTCCCCATTAATACAGGGTTGGAAGCTTGAGGTTGTCTAATATTAAATTACAAAGAGACAGTTTTGATGACTTGAATCTATTACTACAGGTCACAAGGGAGGAAAGTAAACTACAATTTGAGGATCCGTTCTCTATTCTGAGGAGAGAAGAATACAAATATCAAGCTCTGTGATGTTTCGGAGCTGCAAGTAGCTTCAATTGGAAGGGAGAAATCTTCAACAACCAAAAGAGAAAGAAAGTTCTATTCATTCTTCTAAGGCACTGCCTAGTTGCTAGAAAATTTTGAAGTAGGTCAGAAAAACGCACAAAATGCAAGTCTAATTATACCTTTCTTTTTGTGATGCATCGTCAACTTCATGTTTGGATAACCAATAGATGCATCCAGTATTCGGTGGAACTAACGATCCAGAAATGTGAAGCATTTCTTCATCCAGACTAAATGATATAAACAAAAAACAGAAAAAAAAAAAAATCATTATGTTAGAAAAGGCAACTTGATTTATTTATATTAGAAGAAAATTTTAAAAAAGAAGAAGAAAAACTAAAAATATATATATAACATGCTTCGGGAGATACAATTCAAATTGTAAAATCGTTAACTAAAAATGGAAAATCAAAGCCAAACCACAGGACATATTTTCTCCTAACTAACTATTTTTTTTTAACTATCTTAAGTTAGTTAAGGAAACGGGAATAATATTCAGAGTATCACAACTAACATTAAGGTCAATCTTAACTCAAATCATATTCACATGCAAAAAAGAGAATATTGTGGAGACATTACTAATTAATTATCTTGAATACATCATACAAAGGAATATAATAGATGATGACAAAACATCAAAATTTAAAACTTGATGGTCAAAATAAGTGCCTCAAGAATATTATGCCTTCAGAGAATTAGAGATGAAAAGGTAGTTATCTCGCTGAAGGCTAGTTTGTATGATTCCTTGGATGATGAACAGATGAAAAATGAATCTAGTTACACAGCCGTCATTTGCTATTATCACAAAACTAGAGAAAAAGCAACAAGTTTTAACCAAGGAAATCTAGTAGAATGCAAGGATTAGATGTTCAAGAGACTCGGCATGGGAGAATGAAGTCCAATAGTCATCCAAAATGAAAATCCTCACAAAATCCTCAAGAAAAATAATGAAAGAACGAACTAGCAAAATTACTAGAGCAAACAAAGGAATAGAGGCAAGCAAATTAATAAATGATTTTCTCGAGATATTTATGAAGGATTTAATTGTGGTTAATTAGTGTGAGGGTTATTTAAGAGAGTTTTGTCTAGGGAAAGGGCATTAGATAATTTGTGTTTGTTGTAGCTTTTATTTTGGTGAGTTCCCAACAGCATCTAGAGTTTGTGGGAGAGTTGATCAACCTCTCGAATATTAGATTAATTGTATCTTGCTTTACTGTTGTTTGAGTAATCAAATTTTAACCCTAATCTTTAGTTCCTACATTTTTCTTCTTCTCTATTTTTTGTTTTTACTTCCAAGATGCATCAAATTGGTATCAAAGTGAGATGTTCTGAAGACAATGGCAGCAAAGAAGGTGGATGTGTTGGAAGGCAAGATGGTGCAATTCAAATCCAAGGTGGAGGAGAAATTCTCAACCATCGCAAGAAGATTTTCAAAGAGAATTTTTTCATCACATCATCACTCCGGCACCACTTCAACATATTGTTCTTCCAAATATTCATGATTAACAATATTTATAGAGGAAAGACAAGTTTACTCTCCTTGCATTTGCTAATATGAGAAAATATTCTCCTAATAAGAAAATGGGAATTTTGCTTGAGGTGAAGAGGGAATGTGCGATTAAAGCCCATTAATTCGGGTGGTAGGAATGGATGGAAGATCATGCCCAGTTAAGTCATAACAAATGCGTAACAAAGCACAACCCACATACAATTACATGTGGCCTAAATTTTCTTTTCAGAAAAAATTCAAAACTTTATTTTATAATTAAAAAAAGTAAGGTTCCAATACAATAGATTCCTTAAAAAAAATTGAACATAAAAATGTAAATAAAGATAAAAAATCAAACAACCCCAAAATAATCCCCTAGTAATTTTGATGTGATGTTGTTCGTGCATGAACAAATAAAGCTACAATAACATGTCTTACTCTTGTGGCACTGTTATCCAACTACATTAGCACTTTTGCCATACTTAGTAGATTACATACTAGTTAGATATTTGGATTTCCATTACACATAGAGCAACAAGCCAAAACGAAAAATTGTTTGAAGAGCGCAGTAGAGTATAATAACGATGCTTTTTTTTGTAAATACAAGGGACCTAATAAAAGGCCGCACTCCTTAACAAACTAAGAACTTTTATTTTTTTATTATTATTTTGAAAGAGCACTTATCCCCAGTAATGCACCAATATGGACACGATGATACACACATATTGGATTCATTATTATAATAATATAAGTAATTACACAAATTAGATAAATATGAAATGAATTCATATAATAATGAATCTATTCCAATTATTCATAAATATTAGATATATTTATATTTATTAAATATCATAAACTTAATTGAAAAAAAAAATACTAACATGATATTAGAGATTACTATTCTATTGAGAATATTGATTATTTGTTTTAAAAAAAATGAAAAAAGCATAGGTAAATTAAGCAAAATAAGGCAAACAAAATTACTATTAAGTAGCTATTAAATTTCATAAGTAATATATTTTAAAATTTAAGAAAATAGATTAATTAATTTCTATATTTTTAAAGTTAAAATTTATTACTTAAGACATAAGTGCTAGACACGCGTGTCCATTAATTTTTTTATTTACCAAGTAGATGTTGTGATGAGGACATTAGTTGGAAAGTCTACCGTCGACGTGGTCGTAGATCAACGGCCACGATTTATCTGATGTACTTTTGATTATATTATTATTTTCTTGGTGATGTATTTTTATTTCAACATTTTCTCTTTTTTACCCTTGCTTGAGGGATTGTATCATGTAGCCCCTTGAGGGTATTTGAGTCTTTTTGCTTTATGTCATTCTAAGAGGCTATTTAAGGCCGTCATCTTGTTCTTTTGAGGTTAATGAATGATATTAAGAAATTTTCCTGCATTTGTCTTCTTGAAGCTTATGTGAGAGCTTGAAAGAGAGTTTGAGAGCTTGGTGGAGCCTAGGAGAGGCCACCCGTCGTACCCAACAAACACCACCAGTGGCTCTTGGTTATCCTCCTTCCTTCCTTCCCTTCTAACCAACGTCCACCGCCGGTCATCCCCCACCACCAACCACCACCTCATAACCCCTCCTACCAAGGCTCACCTCAACCTAACCATCAATCCAACCCCTCTTCGTCATTAGCTCCTTCACCCACCCCACCCAAGCCAAACCCGCCGCCGGCCACCCTTGTTTTCCCCCATGATTGAGTAATTAATGCCCCTTATTGCTTAACTAAATAGTTTAAATAGTTTGGGAAATTATTTTCATCATTTGAAATTCAAATTTTGAATTTCAAATAATTTCCTAAATTAGAGAGCTATCTTAGGAAAGTATTGAAACTCATTCATGATTAATTTCAAATTTAATTTGGGCAAAATTTTTCTTCTCCTAAATTAAAGAGACCAATTAGGAAGGGGAGTTAAATTTCTCCACACAAAACTTGATGAGGACATCGGAGATCAACGGCTACGATTTTTTTTAGTTATTTATTTATATGTTTTTGTACTAGTTTATTTTATATTGTTGTTTTTCCATTTATACCCTTATGAGTGGTCATGTAGTGTTGTAGCCCGAAGGGCATTTTAGTCTTTGTTATTTTTCTTTTCATGAGGCCTATTTATAGGCTAGCTTTCTTGTATTGAGGGATGATGATTGATAATGAAAAGTTTCATATTTTTGTTGATCTCTTAGTGAGTTCACGTGATCTCTTAGTGAGTTCATGAGAGGAGAAACCCGAGGAGGGTAATTCGCAATCCCCGCCAATCTTTGGAAGAGTCCGAGGTTCGCGGTTCTTACGATCTCTTTGTGAGTTCGTTAGTTATCTCTATCTTTCTCGTATATTCTTGTTCTTCTCTTTTCTCCGCTCTTCATCCACAAAATATTCCCCTAGCTCTATTGCCGCCGCCCCCTTGGAGTCCACCCACCGGCCACCCTCACGGCTCCGGCCGGCCACTTTGCCGGCAACCTCCCCAACCGTCCACTCCTCCCTCCTGCATGCTCCAAATTTGAAATTTGAATTCCGAATTTTGAATTCTTTCCTAATTTGGAAATCCAATTTAGGAAAGTTTTATTTGATAAATTCCAATTTCAAATTAAATTAAGTTGGAGTTCTCATAACTTACCTCCACGTCATCACCCACCTTGTTCTTCAAATTTCGAAAATTCAAATTCGAATGAGCTCCAAAATTTCCATAATTGCCAAAGTCCAAATAAGGGAAAATTGCTGCCCAACATCTCAATTTGCTGTTTGGAAATTCCTGCAGCAGCCCACCGACGTCCAGCCATCCCGGGAGCGATAATTGCTGTCCAGATCTCAGGGACAGCCCTTCTTCCTGTCTAGAAGTTTCCCTGAGCACAATAGGTTGCTATCTTGTTGACCACAGCAAACTAGGGTGCTGTCCAGCCGTCCAGAACCAATCCTAGCTGCTGTCCTGAGGAGATCTAATGTCGTCCAGCCGCCCGAAGAGACACCCATTGCTGCTGAGTGGTTCCAGAAGTTTGAAGGCTGCTGCCCCTTCATTCCCGCAATCGTCATAGCTTCATAACTCCCTTTTTTTTTTGTAAACTCTTCACTCACTCTCTATCTTCTGAGTTTACTCTACTCGTGGTTATAATTTGATTCACAAAGCGCATGTTTTATCGCCTCCGCTAAACCTAGTATTTGAATGAGTTGTGAGAGAGGCCCTTCATAATACTAATCTTATTGTTAGCATTGGAATTTCTCGTTGAAACCACTCATGTATGCAAAGTAAGACTTAGTTGACTATTTAATGATCTCAACCTCTCGCATGTGTTTAGACCAAAGCTATTTTATCACCTTATCATTTTTATTTTGTCGTTTATCATCAAGAGAAAGCTTATAATTATTGTGCTCTAAAATTTAAGCGTGCAAATTTCCTTAATTTAATCATCCATGCTAATACGTTTCACATCAAAACTCCCTCCCTCCCTCTACATGCCGCCGGCCTCCCCCTTGCTTGGGCTCCCTCCTTTAATGCTCAATCAAGGCTATTGATTGCAATTGATTTGAAATCCAAATTCAAATCATTTTCCCTCCAATTTTTCCCAAAACCTGAAAATAATTTCAGATTTGGAGATTGGAATATTGCTCCTTTCTCTCTACCTAATTCTATCCCGAACCCTAACTCTTTATTTTCCCCTACAAGCCGCCAGCCTCTTTTCCCTCCTCCATCTCTCTCCCTCCTCCTCTATAGTGCTCTCTCTCTCTCTCACTTTAGACCAATGTTATGTTGAAAACTACTTCGCATGAAAAGCTTTGATTTTCCTAACGGTTTTGATTTCGCTTAGTCTCTTGCGTGACTTAGCCTAAACGAAAGTGACCACTTATTAGTTTAATTTTGTTGTTTTAATCGTTAATAACGAAAATCTAAAATTGCTCTTTAGTTATTTTGTGCAAATTTCCTGTTTCGCATTTAGTCCTGCATCATGTTGTCCAACACGTGTCAAGCAATTACAAGTGTCCTCCACAATGCACTTTATTGTTACGAAATATCAGTGTATCATAGCTTGGCCGCCCTAACACTTATCCCATTTCTATGTGGAATATTGCCTTCACTTCAACAATGCCATATCCTTGCATCTACATCTACTATAAACTTGCAACTCCACATCAAGAATTTTTTGTCGTGAGTTTCATCAAGTTTAGTATTACTATCACTATATTAACACAAAATAAATCTCCACAATTGGAGATTTAGCAGCTCATAAAATCAAAAGGTCGCGATGCTTACCTTTTCACTATGAACCGTATGATGCTACCAACCTTAATCAAATGGTGCTTGTTATATCTGCTAGTAAAAGTCCCTACACCATCTCTCTACAAAAAAAAAAAGTATAGTTAGAAACAAAGGAAACATCGATTTTGGCAATCAACGTAACTATGTAAGTGAACTGGAAAACATCTTACAGTCTTATACTTAAACTCTGCACGTATATCTTCCAACATAATTGCTGCTGAAGAAAAGCCAAGCACAGTGGCATGCACAGACTCTCTGCCAAGCTTTACAACCTTCCCTTCTGAAATGATAAAAAACAAACTATTGCAACTCCATATACAAGAAAATACAGAGTTTTCCTGCACGAAGCAATACAATTCAAATAATAAAAAAAGATATTGTGTTTCAACCATAGAAGAAGTCTTTTTTTTTTAATCTACTAATTAACGGCTAAGTTTCATTTTCATCCTTGTCAAGCAGGGGGCAAAATATAAGTCCTATATGACACCTAAATAATTTTCACACAATCATTTCCGAGAAAAAATACTAATATGCGCACTTTATTACATGGAACAAAGTAATTATATATGTATAAAATGAAAATTAAAAAAGGACAAATTTGGAGAATCATCATCATCATTATCCCAACTATTTGGGGCAAGTTTTATGAATCTTTATTTTTCATTTGTTACCGTTGAGTGTTATGTGAGATGTTAAATATATTATTTGCATATCATTTTGAACATCTTCTATTCATGTAAACTTAGTTCTATTCATTTTCCTTCCTAATCATCTTACAATAATTTTATCAACTCGTCAAACAGACGCATTTCTACCATTTGTAGTACACATCCAAACCATCAAAGTCTATCTTTAATCATCTTATCTTCAACAAATGCTACTCCAGCCCTTCCTCTAATATAATCAATTCTTAATTTATACTTTCTAGATATAAATCATCACATTCTCATTTATGTTACAATTCACGAATATACCAGTGATTTTTTTTTATAGCACAACATTCAAATGCATACAACCTCACCAATCCAATTGTGATTTCATAAATTTAACCTTTAAGCCTTCATGACATTAAAATTTAAAAAAAAAAAATTGTTAAAGAACTAAACATGTACTTTCAAAAGGACCATCATATATATAAGAATAAAAATTAAAAAAAAAAGGATAAGAAGTAACATCAAATGTAATGAGCGAAAAAGATATATAAAAAAAAAGAGATTCACAATAGAGGGGAAGAAGTAAGCTTATAATTCATGAGGCCACATCAAGATAAGAAGGGAGTTGTTGATTCATATCTTAATAGAGATTATCATGGAGCTTTCAAAATAGCACTCCAAAAATACTTGGAGGAAATAACAAGGGTTGAACAACCATAGGAAGGATGAGGATGAAATGCTTCTTTATATAATTATTTAGCTATTTATTTTATTATCAAATAAGTTAACAACTTCTGAAGACAAGATATAGTATAATTTATGATGATGAGGAGCTAATCCTTATCAACACAATCTCATTTGTTTTCCCTCTCTACCCGAGATAAGAGGGGTTATTGAGGAATCAGGAAAAACAAAATAATAAATTATAGGGAAAAAAAAAAGATTCCATAAGAAAGATAAAGGGAAGAGCTCAAGAACTTTGATAAGAAGTTTAAAAAAGCCCAACAAAACTTGGTTTGCAATTCAATTCTCATTCAATTCCTTTAGTGCATTCACCCTTTGAATATTCTCTACATCATAAAACTCACAATAAAGACCCTTGATTGGCTAAACGCCCCTAGTAAAAAGAATACCTACATTATGGTTTCCTATTATAATACATACCTATCCAAAGAATCATATTACATTTACTTTTACAATTGCAATCAAGGATATCCCTAGATCTTGATTCACATTATCGATGTTTCAAAGATCAAGGTCTATGATAATCCTAATACTAGAAACATACATTAGCCTCTTTTGCATATAGTGAAGAGAGAAAGGGTTGCCTGACTCCTCATCAATTATAGATCAAAGCTTATGTGGGTTCGAATCAAAGTCATAGATGCCAACCAATGGCAAATCATATTTACATCCCGGCGTAGATTCTTTCCTGCAAGTTTTAGGAGCATAAAAATGATAAATAAAAGCAACCCACTTTGAGCCTAAAAAGTGTCTTGATAAATCAAATGCACGAGTGTGCCCCATAACAAACCAAGGTGGTCTAGAAAGTAGAATTCTCTTCTATCCCCCTACTTGACTACAAGAGGGGAAGCATTACTTAGGAGCCATCAAGGAAGAAAAAAAAAAAGGAAGAAGGAAGAAACCATAAGAAAGAACAGGCACTTGAGGAAGATCAAAAGAAAAGCTCAAAGACTTTTACAAAGTTTGATGAAGTCTATAAAACATAGTTTGTAATTCTCTTTCAACTCCTTCAATGCATGTCACCCTCTTATTATTCTCTATCATATATTTCACTATAGAATCCGTTGATATGTCAAACTCCATCATAAGAAGGAATGCCTAAATTAAGGATTGCTGCTATAATGCCTGTAACCCCAATAATCCTATTACATGTACTTCTACACTTGCAATCAATTACATTCCTTAACCTTGCTTGATATTACTGGGGTTTCATAGTACAAGGTTTATCAAAACCTTAATACTAGAAACATAGAAACTAACCCTCTTGCATTATAGATCCAAGATCGGGTTGGAGAGGAAGTGTTGTCAAGCATATTCTCTTTAATTATAGATCCAAGATCGGGCAGAGGTCTGACATAAGATTCACTTGTGACAGCCAATTCAAAATCAACCTCAATGATTTTGACTAAGATCGCCAAAGCTAATAAATAGATGTAATTTGCAAATAAGGCTGAAATATCAGGGAGGTTTACTGCTCTAATATAGAAAAAAATTTTATGTATGAAATTGAAGGATGAAAAAGTTATCTGAAGTAGAGCAAAAGCTTGAAATTTTTATCATTAAAATTATTTAAATTATCATGAGAAGATTGGATATCATTTTCCATCTTAAAATGCTCTTATATGTTCACATGAAAAATTAACTAATTTTCAAGTTTTTTCTATGCCAGTATGATGCCCAAAAGTCGACTAAATTCTTTGGTTCAAGAATAAATCGTAGCTTCCGTGTTTTTATTCAATACAATTCTCCTTACATAAAGAAAAGACAATCTATAATTATAATTATAATTATCATTCTTTACTTAAGCCCTTTTTGGTTTGAAGGAATTAAAAGAGAGAACAAGAACATGAAAATGATAAAGGAATTGAATTCAAATTAATTTTCACCTGCTTGTTTGGTTAATGAGACATTAGGTGGATGTCATTCTTACTTAGTTGATGAGAAATTGAGTTTAATTTAATGTGAGAAGAGGGCTGATGGATAATTTTTCTATCCTCAACGGCATAGAAAATAATATATTACCTTGAATGACAAAAAATTTATCTTTTTATTTACTCAATAACAAAAATTACATTTTATTTTTTATATGCCTGGAGATTTTCTCCGACATAATATATATTGATTGAATAGGATTTATTTTTATTAAATAGATTCCCCATAAAGTCAAGCCACTATGATTAATTACATCTCAAGGATACTTAGCCATTTAAAAAACTTTTAATTAAAATAATTTATATTTGTTATAAAAAACATTGGCTACAGTTTTAAATGATTTTCAAAAAAACTTAGAATTGCTTTTGAAATTTTATTTATATACACTACTTCAAATAGCTGGGACAACCAAATTGCGACCTTACCCTCAAAATCATTAGTAATCAATGGCTACCATTCATCTCCAATGCCCCGAACGGCTTTGACCTTCTGGAAGAAATAGATGAACAAGTGAAAAGTAGGAGGAAGGATCACGGGAGACTATTGCTTCTCTACCTAGCCCCTTCAACCATTAGACGCAAATTACTCGATTTTATCTAGGCTTAGAGGGTTACGATAGGGTAATTTAAAGCCCTATTAAGTGTGGGCTGAACTGGATGAGTTAATGGACCCTACTTGAATGCAATTTAAGCATGGGATAAAATGAAAAAATCAATTTGGTTCAATTGACACAATATGACTCGATTCAACTCGATTAAATCAAATTCGACTCAATTTGACTAAATTAAATCAACTTTGATTCAACTCAATTAGACTCAGTTAAATCAAATTTCACAAGATTCGACAAAATTTAGTGAATTAATTCAATTTGGCTATTTTGAGTCAACTCTATTCCAAAAAAGTGAGACAACAAGGGCATGTGAGTCGCAACAATGACCCAAAAGAAGTTTGTTTCAATTTTTCAGGGGGGTTGGGGAGGGAACAATAAATGAAAAAAAAATACATGGGATCATGTAGCCGACCCAACATAGTGGGATCAAGGCTTGATATTGATGTTGTTGTTGTTGTTGTCGTCAACCTTTCCTAAATAAATTCAATTACCTGTGAATTACATTGAAACCAAACACCTATTATTGCAAATTAAAATGCATTTGAATCCCTCTGAATTACTTCCAACCAAACATACCCTTAGTCCAAAATTATTATTAAACGGGAAGAGCACACAGGTAATCTTTTTTCTCCAAGTTTAATTCCTCTCGTAAAAATATAAAAAATACAAGATTAAAATAAGTGCAAAAAGCTTATAAAAAGCAAAACCACTAACGAAAATAAAACACGCACCTATGAACATGTTCGGCTTCGGAGAAAACAATAGCAAACTTGCCCTCAACTTCACCCCAATATGTGGGACCAGACCTGGAAGAATCCTAGCACTTCTACTACGGCCATCGACTTGGTAAGCCAATAACACTCCTTCAAACATTTCATCATATCTATTATGAAGAATGTAAGATCAATAAACTGCAACGAATTCTAAGCCTTTTAACATTCAGTGTAGTAGCTAATCATTATTCAAGCACAATATCCTATTAGTGCATGAAGTTTTCAAATTGATAGCAGGAAAAAAGAAATTTTAGGGCAGGAAAGGTGAAGTTGTTGCAAATAATAACCTTGATAGTACATCATTGTCATGTTGATGTTATTGATATTAAATGAAATCAACAGGTTATCGATTTTAAAAACGGCAAACATATTAGAAAAGTGAGAGAATTTACTTGAACAGGAGAGAGCTAAGCTGGCTAAGAATGGCTCCCCGTATTTTGTTGGCCATGGAAGGATGGATGTATACCGTAAGATTGGCATCGGAGACCATCAGCCCTTCCATGATGGTGGAGTGGAACTGCGATAACAAGAGGGGGAGAGAGAGCGCGCGCGCGTTGATTAGTTCATTAACAAATCCCGGATTTATCAAATCATTCGGTTCGGCGGATTTACGGAATTTGCCCAAAATATAATAATAAAATAATTAATTAATATTAACAAAATGTTGATGCATTTCATTTGAACTTTATTGTTGTATTTTAATTATCTATGAAATAAATTTCAATTGTGTTAATCGTCTTAAATCTTGAATTGAATTGTCAAACATTCATCCAGAAATTATCAAGATTTATATTGGATGTTGTCAAACAGTTTTCAATATTTAACATCTCTAGGATTTAGTAAATCTAAATTTATTAGAGGATTTACAAAATCCTACTTAAATTAAATCCTTCTTGTATCCAAATAGCCCCTTCTAGCGACTAGTTCAAAACTTAAACTCTCACACGAAGCAAAGTCAAACAACAACGAATAGCATGAGAAGATTAAAAGCCAACCCTAACGAGCCTACCATAAATTATTAGGTGCGGACACACATGTGGAATTACACATAAATTTCCAATTTCTAATATTTTTATATATTAAAAAAAATCCTTACAATCCAAAGATCTGATCCAATTTAGTTATAAACTCTTTAAACTGGTACATGTTTTTATATTTTTTTAGAAAAAAACGTGAAAGCACTCAAATATTTAGAGTTTTAACAAAATAAAACTTTGAGTGCTTGAAAAAAAAAAACAAGTGATGAAAAAAAATTGTATTTGTACCAATTTATCCTTTTATCATCACATCTCAATCCATTACATCATTAATCACAGTATGAATAATAGCGAACAATACTAATGGTAATAACAATATTAGTATCATTATCAATAATGTTAAATAATGTTAATGATAATAAATAATATTAATGTCAGTCATAATATCAGTATAGTGCTTATAGCAATGTCGGTATCAGTATTCAGATATTCAATGAGTGTATATGAAGGGTATCTTATTCCTGCACTTATAACTCTCAATTAGTTGTCCCTTATAACACCAAATAAATATATTCCTTATAACTCTCATTGAATCACATGATCAATCGCCCCGACTATATATAACTCCTAATCAATTTCCATCTCCTTATAACTCCTAATCAGTGAATCACATGAATCAGTAGGGTATCACGTAAAGTTATCATATCATATATACGATATCAATCAATACTTAACTTAAAATGCAATAAAATTATATCAAATCATTTAAAATGATCAAATATATAATATATCCAAAGTTGTACGATTAAAGCTTATGAAATCAGAAGATAATACAATATTTGTAAATTTATGAGAGATAAAATTCATAGAAGTCAAAATCATCGAAAACAGAAGTAAGAGATTAATCACTTATAATGAATAAAATAAAATATCTAACGTGAATGACTAACAAATATGATCCAAAATATTTTTCTATCCTCTTTCTTTTTCTCCTCTTTCAGTTTCTTCTTAATCAAGTATAAAGTGAGGGAGTCGTGGGGTGAGTCAAGACTATATATATTGTTCATCGGCTTTATATCCTCTTTATTTTTCTCCTCTTTCAGTTTCTTCCTAATCAAGTTCAACATTTGTGAATTTTTCTCCATTTTTTTGAGCACTTCATGCATAAATCTGCTGGAAAAAAAATATTTTTATTGATGTTTAAGATAATAAAATACTACAAAATTTATACTTAACCTATAATCATATGAACATTTTAGGATTTCATATAATAGTTGTAGTTGTGAGAAAAGCCTCAATCCAAGTATATACTCAAAAATTTGCGGAGGAAAAAATAATAGGTGAAAATATCATTTCTTATAGTCAAAACGTTTGAGGTAAAACATAAGACAACATATTAAAAATTAAACAATGAAATTGTTGAAAAACCTTAGAAAATACTTTTTTATACATAACTTCTTTTTTAATCTATAATTAAAATAAAAGAGAGAGGTTCAGAAGTCTACCTCGTACCCACATTATCTTGAACATGCCCGACGGATGAATCTCAAGTTTTGGCCTCCAAAACATCCCTCCACTTCTCCAATCCCTTCATTTCTTCTCCCAAAATAGTTGGGTGAAAAATGATTTAAGATATTTTTATTATTTAGAAACCACCAATATGACCTAACGATATGGCATTAGCCTCATTAGTGTCACAACGCTCTTATAGAATCTTCCATATTCTCCCAAAATCTCACCTTTAGAGAGCTTAGTGTTGTGGCTGCATCACCCAACACCACAACGCACTCTAAAGTTTCTTACCCCCACCCAAGACCTCAATGTCATGACGTTAATTAGCACCGTGGTGCTACCAAAGTTGTTTTGATAATCTTGAATTTTGCTTCTATAATCTAATTATTGACTTAATACTTTCTTACACATTTTAGGAGTTATAATTACAAATTAAATTAAATTAATCAAACAAATATTTAATTTGATTAACTTTAATTACCTGAATTTTGAAATAGCCGCTATTACGTTTGTTATCCTCTTATATCATGAAAAGGATAAGCCATATTCTTCCTTCCCCTCTACTAAATGGAGTCATAAGATTATGAGTATGTTTCTTTCATTGACTTTGAGTCTATGAATTCTCATTAGATGATGTAAATCATAGTTATCAATAAATGACTCCTATTTAGGCTGGGTTGATTTATTTCATGACTAAATAAATTTGAAATTTGATGACTCGAGGTGAATGATCGTATTAGGTCTATTGATTCTAAATTTTTTTCTTAATCCCATAAACCCATACAAGCTTATTCATTTTCTTGATTTTAATGTAATTTTGTAAATCCTTACTTATTGAGAGGCGGTCTCCCATTACAATATAATTATTTATCCACTATATCGCGGCCTGATTCAACTTTCATGAATAAGATTTTCCCTTTTTAATTAAAATATTATTCATTGATAAAACATATTGACACATTTGAAATACAATAAATATTTCTCTAATCAATAGTATTATTGGGCATTACCCAAATATAATAAACCATTGGAATCATGTTTCTTTGAGAGTGCATATATGCTTAGTATAGAAATAAATTTGATATTTTCCTATTTACAAAGGGCTTTTGTGGATCATTTTTATGTATTTGTTCAAGTGAAGTTGGTTTAAAATTTTTTCAAACATATTTCCTTCACTTGCCACATGAAAATCATTCTCTATGAATACTTCATACTCTTTCTTTTATCATTAACATCTTTTTCTCTCTTACTCTTTTATAACCTCATACTCATCCATTTTCTACTTTTTTTTCTCTCCCAAAAATAAGATGAGGGGATTTAAGGATGTTTTAAGTGAAGCGATATGATAATCATTGAAAATAAGTTGACCAAGAAGAATATATTGAGGGAAAGAAATTAAAAAAAGATATGAGAACACCTTATTCAAAAGTTTGAAAAGAGCTCATACATGTTTGTAGTGGGTAATGTCATGTTTAATTTGATTTGATTTTATTATGTAGGGTGTGAATAATATACTTAAACCTAAAATAACTAAGTATATAATATCATTAAGGTTGAAAAGATGATGATTGGAAAGTAATGTTTGTCACCAAAAACTTTGTAGCAGATCAATCACACACTTTGGGATTGTTGGAGATAGAGAAGTTGTTGTGAAGAAGAGCAACGAGTAACTCTTTGTTTGAAATTTCGTTTAACTCTTCAGTGAGGGTTTTAAAGCCTATTTTCATATAACATGGATAATTTAGTTTTAAACAAACATTAAGGCAAATTTCTTCAATTATGGGGGGCGTGTTTCACCATTTATGATTATAGTGAGTCATGTAAAGGCAAATCCCCCCTAAAAAAAAGAACTTTTATCTTCTTAATTATAATCACATGTAATATAACACCTACAATTATTAATAAAATGAAAAAAAATTAATAATTATATTTTATAATTATTATCATTTTTAAATTTCTTATGATCAATTTATTTCTTGAGAAAATTATATTCTACTTAAATGTTATGCATATAAGTAGCAATTAAACATGCAAAAAGTCTACAGCTCTCTAAATTTGGTGGCAATTCAACTCCCATCTAGGTTTGTAAAAACTCATATTTCGTGAATAATTCAAGACCGATTTAGTAAGAGACTAGTGTTTTATATATTGACTAAGTAATCAATTTGATATTAAATAGTTATTTTAAGTTCATTTTCTTAATAAGCATAATACAAATATAATCTTTTTAGATTGTGTTCTGGTTATTACAACAACAATAACAACAACAACATGAAGCCTTTATCTCACTGTACGTGGGGTCAGCTACATGAATCATTTTTCTCCATTATATCATGTTAAGAGTCAAATTATCATTTAAATCTAAAAAGAAAAGGTCATTTATAATATTTTATAACCATGTCTTTTTAGGTCCACCTCTACCTTTCTTAACATAAGCCAAAACTAATACTTTTACTTTCCTAATTGAGTCATCGAGAGGCCGCCATTTTATGTGACCAAATCATATATCTAAGATGACTCCCTCTAATCTTATCTTCCACTTGAACTACACCAACCTTTTCACGTATATGCTCATTTCATTTCATGTTTCTAAGAGTAAAGCCACTCATCCACCTGAGTATCCTCATATATGCAATACAACTTAATATTATGCTTCTCTTTTAATGACCAACATTTTGCACCAAAAAATATTGTGGGTCTCACTGCCATCTTATTGAATTTTCCCTTAAGTTTGAGGGGGGCTTTTTATCACACAACAAGCCTGACACATTCCTATATTTCAATCATCAAACTTGAATTCTGTTAATAATATATCCATCTATTTTACCATCACTTTGAATAATAGACCCAATATATCTAAACATATGCTCTTATTAATGATTTAATCGTCCAAAGTCATAAACCCTCAAGTAGATCTATTACTACTAAAAATATACTTTATATATTCAATTTTAGATTACTCAAATGAAAACGTGTAGACTCTAACGACGACCTCCATAATTCAAGTTTACCTTCAGCTCACTCTCTAGTCTTATCACCAAGAAGAATATCATCATTAAAAAATATACAACAGGGTACAACCTCTTTCAAATGTTTAGTGAGAACATCCATGACAAAAGTAAAAAGATATGGACTTGAGGTTGATCCTTGATGTAATCCAACATAAATAGAAAAATACTTGGTCAAACCACCTTGTGTTCGAACACAAGTAACAACACCGACATACATATCCCTAGTGAATTGAATGTAAGCATTTTAACTCTTTTATTTTCTAGAAATTTTCATAGCACTTTTATTGGAACTTTATCATATGCTTTCTCAAAATCAATAAACATCATATGAAGAACCTCCTTATTCTCTCCATTCTTCTTCCTCAAACCTCTCAATAAATGTATAGCCTCCTTCCCATAGTAGACCTACCCGGCAATCCGTCATGAATCCAAATTGATATTGAGAAACATTAGTGATTAGTATCACATCATAACCTATGCTCCACAACTCTCTCCCAAAGTTTTAAAGCATGACACATTAACTTAATTCCTCTATAATTTGCAATCTTTTGCATCATCTTTATTTTAAAAAATATGAATCAACACACTCGTTATTCACTCATCTCACATCTTTTTAGTCTTCAAAATAATATTAAAAAGTTTGGTAAGCCAAGAAATTCATTCATCTACTAAGCATTTTCACACCTTTTTTGGAATATCATCAAGTCCAACAACTTTTCCTATTTTACTAATACGCCAATAAAAATAAAATTCTTTATTTTCATTCACGATGTTAAGAACACTAAAATCAATTATATTCTCATAATCTTCATTAAAAAATTTGGCTTATGACTTTAAATTATATAAATATTTATTATAATTGATTAGGTAATAATTTTAAATTCAAAATCGTTATCAAATTTATTAATAATTTTGTTATAAAACATCTTGAGCGGTCTTATCAGAGTTTATAAAGAATTTGAAAGAAATAAATTTAAGGAGCCTAACACTGACACGCAAACGTTCGCTAAGCACAGCTCCACGGCCTCCACCCATCACCAGCTCTAGTTTCGATCGGTCTCGAGCCCTCGACGTGGTAGCTTCTCGCCCATTCGCGCACCTTGTTTCGCTCTCTTTTTCTTGCTTCTGTTCAGATAAAGAGAAACCATTTCTCCAACCACATATCTCCTTGATCTCCTAATATCTTTCCTCTGCGTTAAACCCATTCCAAGTCCTCCATGGGAGACGCCTCTTCCGGGGCGCTAGTGCCGTCGGTGAAATTGGAGGAAAGACAACCACAGACTTTCCCCCCGCCGGCTTCGGTGCCGGCTGCGGCGGTGTCGACATCCGAGATGACAGAGACGGCGGTGGCGACGGCGACGGCGGCGGCGGCGGCGGCTACGGTAACGGCTGAAGAAGCTGAGCTTGATAAGGATTTGCTATGCCCGATCTGCATGGGGACGATCAAGGACGCTTTTCTGACGTCGTGCGGGCATAGCTTCTGCTATATGTGTATCGTCACCCATCTTCAGAACAAGAGCGACTGCCCTTGTTGCTCGCATTACCTCACGAAGAATCTCCTCTACCCTAATTTCCTACTAAACAAGGTTGGAATTTCCTCGTTTTTTAGTTTTTATTGTTGATTCATGATTGTTTGGTATTTCAAAATGGTCAGGGCTTGAAATTCTTTCTGTTGCGCTCCACATCACTTGCGTTTTGATGTTCTGTTGATTGATAACAAGGAATTATAACATTGCTTGCATAAGTTTTGTATCCTCCAGAGTGCATGCGTTCTAAGGATAGGTTTATAGTTACAAGAAAGAATTAGACAAGTTGAATATGGGAGCTTCTATCCAGTTGAAGATGTTTTAGCTGTCATTTTATTGCTAAATCATTTAGATCATGGATTTCAATGAATAAAGTGCTAACGAATTCTGAACTCCTTTTCAAGTTCTCGTAAAATCCTCTATACTCGTGGTCAGCATCCTCGATATGTACGTTTTATATCAACTAGTCTAAAATACATCAAACCAAAACTTGGCCGTTGTTTTGTTGCAAACTAAATGAAAAATAAACTAAATAAAACTCGATGTATGAACGAGAAGATATGCTCCTGAAGTTGAATTTTTTGTTTTTAGTTTAGTTTTTTTTTTTTTAATTTTTTATTTTATTTTATTTTATTTTATTTTTTATATTGCATGAGAAGCTCGTGCATATGCATCGGCTACGCCCTTCTTTTATTTTAGGATACAAAATTTTTTATAATGATTATTTTTACTACCTAGATATTGCTTATTGATGATTTATTTTTTGGGCAAAATGTAGCTCCTGAAAAGGATGGCCGCTCGCCAAATTGAGAAAACTGCATCACCAGTTGAGCATCTTCGTCTAGCATTGCAACAGGTCAGATGTTAATTCAAGATTCAAATGCCTATTGGATATGGTAAATCTATGTTTTTTGGTTGAAACTCAGATGATGTTGTCCAGTTTTAATGTTTACTATTTGTGTTTCACATTACTATACTACCAAATAAGGGAATTACACAGGCTGTTTCTTATTGAAGATCTTCTCAAATCAATTCCAAAGTTAGTGAGAAAGCTTTGGTTTAGCCTTTCTTTAAAGGTATAGCAAGCCCTTCTTTGTTTACGGATTTGTCCACGTTAGTTGCATATCTATCTTTGGGGTTGCAAGTGTGATTCGTACATCGTTTTTGGCTCGCATCGTCAGCCTTTACTTACCAACATTTCTTTTAGGATTTAGCTCCACAAGTGGTCCCTTTCTTGGAATTCCTTAAGAAGGGTATCATTGCTTGAATGCCTTTTTGCTTCTAAAGCTTTCATCCAAATATAAATTCTAATGTCTGCTTCTCATATTATGCACTTCCTAGATTTTGGCAAAATCTTCGATTTCTCTTACAACTCCTTTTGGATAACTAGATAGGTGTAAGTCATTTTCTTAGCCAAGAAGGCCATCCTATGGCTTAATTTTATGAAAATTGAATGAGGGTCTTCAACATTCCTCAAAGTATGATTGTGAATATTATGCTGTTGTTTAAGGTTTGAGGTACTAGTGTCATTATCTATTGTCGTAAGAGTTTGTTTTCTTATGATCACAGAGCCCATAAATTTCTAAACTCTCAAAAGTAGATGAGTTCTCACCATGCGAAATGGATAGCATTTTAGGAGGAGTATACTTTTGGTTTGAGTTATATTGCTAGTGTTGATAATAAATAAACAAACTCTTGGAATAAATTAATATTTGACTATTCATGGTAGTTGCAGAGGTAGAACGTGTGGATTCATTCTTCATAATAATAGGGGATTTACTTGCTATCGAAGTGAGAAAAAGACGGTAGTTTTGTTAATATTTTTAGGTATGAAACCATAGTTATCCTGACTACAGTATGTCTTAAAGTCTTCCATCAATAAACAAATATTTAAATCTTCATGGAAAAATGGCATGCTACTCCTCAAAAATATATGCTAAAAAATTTATCTGGAGTGATCACGTGCAAAATGTGTTGAACCTTTATTTTCTGAGACATTAAGCTGTTGATCTTGATAATTGCTTTGTGGTTGCCCGACCAAATATGGAAAAAATGGTAAGTGAAAAAAAGATGTTATGCTATCCAAAATGAATCCACAAAAAATTTAAACTACTCGAACAATGTATGTTCACGAAATGGATTGCGTCGAAGCATTGGGGACAACAAAAACAACTTAGACAAACACCGATATTACTTGGGTATTTGCATGGAAAAAAGTGAGAATTTTGCCTATGTGGGAGGCGACGATGCGACATCAATTCATGCGAGCAATGAAAAGTTTGCAAAAAGTCATTAATAAATTTTTTTCTTATTGTTATTATTATTATTAAAAATAAATACAAACATTATATGTGTAGATAATTCCTCTCCCAACCCTATCCCTCTCACACGCCTTTGTACCCTCTCCTCTTATTGTGCTTGCTGCTGGACGAGAGGGCCATTCAACTCTCATTTATAATATTTTTTCCTAAGAAAATTGCTCCCTCATTGCTCCTCATCTCTCTTGCTATCCTCATCTCTATTGCTATCCTCATCTCTCTTGCTATCCTCTGTCTCCCTTGGCCTACACTCAGTCATTGCCGACCCTTGCATTGTCGCCAACTCTAAAAACATTAATGATTAACAACATTAATTAATAATAATAATAAGTTAATAACAAAAAAAAGGAATTTAATTTTTAAATTAAAATAATAATAATAATAAGAATAAAACATAAGTTTAGAAATAAACCTTTTTGTTAAGGGGCTGTTTAGGTGATGACTTAGGTGACACTATGCGTGAAGCGAATGGGTTTGCTGAAGGTTAGTGGGTTTGTAATGGATCAAAGTAGTTGGTTGGGTTTGTGGTTTGTTGTAGGTTTAGAGTGAGGTGCTGTGTTGGTAAATTAGAGAAGTAGTGGGCCTTTTATGTTGTTGGGCTAGCTGTTTGTGTTTTGGAGGATGGGAGTGGGCCGATTTAGAGGGATTGAATGTGGATAGTTTTAATTTTGGAGCGAGGAAGTTGGTGTAGGAGGTATGGAGAGTCTTCCTCTTATTTATTAATTTATTTATTTATTTTTAATAAGTGGAATGGGCTATGGGTTGCAGTGGCTTTCTTGAATTTAACTTAAAGGCAACAGAATGATGATAGGGATTGTTCACGTGGATGACGTTGTAGCCGCGTGGAGTTGAATTGAAAGAGGGGCAGACAGTGTTGGGCTACAGAGGCTGTCAACTATGTCGACAGGAGTGGAGAAGGTAAGGTTTATCAGCTTGATGTAGATAGGAGAGGCAAGGTGGATCTGCGGCTTTGAACGGTAGAAAGTCGGACACAAAGGTCCAATCAAACGGTCGAACAAATCTAACAGATTGAGAGGGGTTCGACGGGCTCGGATTTGCTGGCTTGGAGTGTGGTCGTGAGAGGGGCTTGGGTAGAAGGCTGAGGTCTTGTGATTTGGCAGGACTGTAAGGAGTCGAAATAGCAGGTGATGTGAGGTCGGATGTGGAGGAGTTGCTGTGATCGGAGGAACTGTGAGGGAGATCGGGCACGACAGAGTTGACGGGCTACATGTTGTGAAGTTGAGTTGTGGGAGTTCGACAGAGAAGAGGCGGGCTACTTTTGTCAGTCTTGGATGGCCGATCGAACGACCTGGTGGAAATGAGAAGCGAGCTGGGGGATTGAGTAGCTGGACTGACTTTGGATTTGGCTTTGCATGTGAGGAAGAGATGGAAGTTTGTGTGTGAAAATGGGTTATTCGTAGACATATGAGAGAGGTTCGAACGACAATGGTTTTGTGTGCGTGGGGAAGTGAAACAATAAACGAACGGAGGCTTTGTCGATTCCATTTTAACGATGAGGTCAGGACTTTGCTGGAGGCTCAAGCAAATTGACGCAATATTTACGGGAGAAGACGTCCGATGATTTCTACGGGATCCAACAGAGCTTAGACGCATTATATCCAAGGTATATTTAGCGTCTGATTTGATTTTGATTTTAAAATTTAATTAAATAAATGAAAATAATAATTATTAAGGTTTATTATTTAATTATGGGATAGCGGGGCAGATCTGTTTCCTCAAAATCGCCTCGATTTGAGCGCATTTCCTCAGTTTGTGCGCAGTCTTCTCGGAACTCACGTCGATTTGTGTGCGCAACTTTCATGAGGTGAAATTATGGTTTATTTTGGGTAATGTCGACGTTCAGAATGCAACGGCGCATCCCGTTTTGCGATCGAAAGTCGTTTGAGTGATGTTGTGCCTCGATTCACTCAGGAACCATCAATTTTGCCGTACGATTTTAATTGAATAAATTCATGATCATTTCTGGGTGTTGATGTCATTCCGGACGCAACGACGAAGTCCATTTTGCGATCAGACGTCGTTTGTGTGACGTTGCACGTTAATTTCCTCAGTTTGGTTGTCGTCACGTTGGGATTATTGCCGATTTCTCCCGACGACTCCAATTGGATAAGTTGATAGTGATTTTTGGGTGTTGACAACGCTCCAGACGCAACGACGAAATCTATTTTGTGATCGGACGTCGTTTGGGAAACGTCGAACGCCAATTTCTGGTGTTGGTCATCCCTTTGGACCGATCTCGTTCGATTTAACTGCAATGGGTCCCCTAGGCGAATTCAACACTATGATTGCAACAACGCAGTCCGTTTGGCAATCGGAGGTCTTTTGCCTTTCAAGTGATGCGTCACGTTGCTTAATTCATTGATTTTGCCCCTTTTGTACGTGGTTTGATGTGTAAGGGTCAACAATTATCCGAAGAGATTATTTTGGTAGAGTTGGGGAAAATATACATTGGTTCACTAATAATTAGCATCTAAGCACATCTTTTCAAGTTAATAGCTAGCTTTCGAGTACAGTATTTGAGCTCATTGTATATGCTTACAAAATCATCTGCGTGCTTACTTTTTCTGCTAGTTATAGGATAGGTGAGTTTGGAAATTAAGATATGGCGCATCAATGGTGAGGTGTTGTTTGCAGCTTGTTCTTTCTGTTAGTTCAGGTTTTAACTCAGCAACTTGAAAATGCTGCCATGTAGGCCTGAACAACTATATTGGTAAAACCCTTTAATCTAAACATGAAAGTAGCTCATTGAAGTTTCTTGGTTGATGATTTGCCTGTAAATTGTTGCAGAACAAATGATGAAGTTCCTTAGTAGTCATTTCTTAAAAGTAGTGCTTTGCAAAGATTATGTTAATGAGCAATTGGCCATTCAGGCGTAACTCATATCATTTTAATTTTTTGAAGTAATATTTTCTTGACGAAAACATTTCTGTTTTCTGCAGAAAGATTGTGAAATATCAGTTAAAGAGCTAGATAACCTGTTGTCTCTCTTGACTGAGAAAAAGAGGAAAATGGAGCAACAAGAAGCAGAGACTAACATGCAGATTTTACTGGACTTTCTGTACTGCCTTAGGAAACAGAAGCTGGATAAATTAAATGAGGTTAGTTTATGTTCTTGGACTTAAAATTATCTTTTGTCTGTTCATTATTTGAAGACGTATAATGCATGTTATTGCCTTATTATTTGCTCCTATTATCTTGAATAAGAGTTTTACTGTTTTACTAGATCCTTTCTTTTCATTCATATTTTTCGTCTATTTCAAGCACTTCGAAAAGAAGCAACATTAGCTTCTGTGAAGTGTAAAGATTGGTAAATTCCTATTTTCAGGTTCAAACGGATCTTCAGTATATCAAAGAAGACATAAATGCCGTAGAGAAACACAGGGTAGATTTATATCGTGCAAGAGAACGGTATTCTGTTAAATTACGAATGCTTCCAGATGATCCTGCTGCATCAAATTTGTGGCCTTCTACAGTTGATAGGCATAACAATGTCCTAGTATCCAGTGCTCGTAGTCCTTATGGGGTAGCTTGCTCTGGAGTGTTTCAAGGTAAGAAAGTTGATATGAAGGTTCAAGGAAACTTTCCATCCCAGCCAAGGAAAGATGCCTTTAGTGGTTCAGACACTCAACTTTCTCTTAATCAATCGGGACTTATTGTTGCTAGAAAGAGGCGAATAAATGCACAGGTTAGTTTCATAACATTTGTTTTGTGTAATGAGAAATAGTACCATGGAAGTTGATCCTCTAGCTAACATATCTGGTTATTGGATTTTTTTGTTTGCTTCTATAATGTTGTTGGCCACTGTCACACTTGCTCGAAGCAATTCGGGTCATTGAGACATAAATCAATTTTAGAATTATTAGAATTTTCTTAATTTTTTAAGATTTCTATATGAGTATGGTCCATAATCATCTTAACCATCACAATAAGGGTTATGGTTATAGTTGTTGCTGCAGCCTTCATTGTCTATGTTGTAGGAATAATCTTTTTTGTTGTCTTTTGTCATTCTCTTGATTATCATAGCTCTTACTTCATCACCGTTGTTATTGTAATTATCATCATTGTCCATTATCCTTCAATAATTTTTGTAATAAATTAGCGAAATAAATTTGATTTCAATATTAGTTTTGAAGCATGGCTCTTAAAAATCAATCACTGCAATTGACTAGAAGTTCAGGATCTATAACTAAATACAATCGTCTTGAAAATTCTTCAGCACTAACAATATATGTTGAACAGTGCGCAGCTGCCAAAGCAAATACTAAATGCTATTATTTAAACAATATGTGGATCTAAGCTGGCCTCAAGTAGGATGATAACTTGTAAAATCCATTTCATCTTTGTGTTTTTTCATTTATACTGGCTGTTAAATAGCTTTATTCGTTTTGTATTGAGGGCCAAAAAAATAGCAGGATGCACTGTTGCTAACGAAGAAGGGCCACTTGAGGTCCTGAGAACATTCATTTATAACCATCCAAGTCATTTCTTATAAATTTATGTAATATGATGCAAAAAATATTCTTTTAAGACATAAATTTATAGCTTCAGTTTCTTATTTTGCAACTTTCAATGTTTTTATTTTTTTATGTTAATCGGATAGATGTGTTTTTTTTTACATTTCCATTTTCCCCAAAGTTTTGGAGGTCCCATGTATAGGATTAAGTGCTTGACCATTACAAAGTGAATGAACTAAAACATGCCTGAATAAATGAAGGTATTTTTTTATGTAAGTATAGATTTCTTGAGTCATTGGGAAAAATTCAATGCATGAATTGTGATAGATTGCTAATTATGAAACACTCTGGAAATTTATGCATTTTGATCTTTCAAAACAAAAGAAATAAACTTGGTCAGAACATCATGAAGAACTTGAAGCTTACAACTTTTAAGTAGTTTGAAAGTGATTCACTTTGAAGCAAGCTTTGACTGTTTTATGGTTTATGCATAGGATATTCAGATCTATGGAAAAAACATTTGAGATTTCAGTCATTTGGTTGAAAGTTAATTGTTATGCATTTGACAGCAACAACAGAAATTTTAAACTTCTTAGTGTTGCTGGTGTCACTAATAATTTCAACTGCTATTTGTCTTCTCAGGTAATGATTTCTCTACATTTTGTAGTTTCTGAGAAGTCTTGACCCTTGATTGCAATTTTAAAATGTAAAAATAACTTTTGAAGGAAATTAGTACTTTTTAAAGGCATTTCATTTTTTATAGAACTCTACCAATGGGGGCAAGAGTGGTTCATGGTTTGGATTTTGATAATTCAAAATAACTTGAGAAAATATATTATTGTTTTTATTTCACTATTTATAAAACTCTACTAATAAGGGCAAGTATGGTTCATGGTTCGTGGCTGAATTGATTCTATCATAAAAAAATTAAAATAACGAAATCAAAACTAAAACCAACTAATTTAATTCAGTTCAATTTTGGTTCAGCTTTTTGGTTTGGAGTTGGATGTCAAAAAATTAAGTTTTGGATTGGTTTGATTATTTTTCAGCTGAATTTTTTTAGTTTGATTTTATTTACCTGATTTAATAGAAATTAAAAGTAGAAAAAAGATTTTTTTAGATTAGACCTTAAGATCAAACCTTTGAATTTTATTAAATCTCCCATGATGCATCATATTTAGCTGCTTTCTTCCGTTTTTTGGGAAATTCAGCAATTTTTTAGCGTGTTGAAATTATGCAGTTTATTAACTTTTATAGTTTTCATAGTTTCTATTGTTTATCACCTGATGAATTTCATTTTGGGTCTTTCACAGTTTAATGAGCTCCAAGAATGCTACTTGCAAAAGAGGCGTCATGGAGCTAGCCAACTCAGTAGGCAGGGAGAAAGAGATGAAAATCCAATCAACAGAGAAGCGTATCATGCTGGTCTTCAGGATTTTCAGTCTGTGTTGACGACATTTACTCGCTATAGGTCTCAATATTATCATATTACTAAAATGGATACACTGGATTCACCTTTCCTGTTTTATTTCCAGTTTTTTGCGCTTCCAATCTGCTGTCATCTATCCTAGTCTTTTCTCATCCTTGTTTTTATTCTCTTTTTTTCCGGTCTCTGTTGGATCAGCCGGTTGCGTGTGATTGCAGAGGTTAGACATGGAGATCTGTTTCACTCTGCAAATATAGTTTCTAGGTAAGTATCTGGTATTAATGGCAAATGCTTTATTTTACCTCTGCGTAGTTGTAAATGCTCCATCAAATAATAACTCGGCTCAGTTAAGGTAAAAAAAAAAAAAAAATTCCAGCAAGTATTACACCAATAATCTTTCATATTTTGTTTAACTTCGTGCTTCTTTACCTTATTCTTTCCCTTCTAATGAGATAGACACTATTTCTTTACAAGCCATATTCTATACACTGATTTGCTCATGGCCACATTACCAGGAATTAATAGAATTACCGTATTTAGTACATTTACTCAATAGCCTTTTGTAAAACATGAAGGAGGTGCTCGACCCCAGATATTTAAACTGTTAGGAACTACCAGCATGTTTTGCCAAGGATTGATGTGTTATATTGTTAGTTATTTTGTTCTAACTGTTTAACTCTTTATTTATCGTCCTTTTCCTTTTCATTTTTCCTTTTTTTCCCGATACATTGTCATTCATTCTTGTAATAGCTGCTAATTATTGTGATATTTTATCTCCGCACAATACTAGTAGTTTATTGATTTTCAAATTCCTGATTTAACTATAATTTTGTATTGCAGAACCAAGATAGTTATGCATATCACTTTAGGCAGCATTGGACTATCTAGTAATATTAACTGAAAGTTCTGAATCCAAATTTATTAAAATTGAATAAGCGTTACTTAATTTTGTTTTACTAATCTTAGCCCCATTGTCTTTAAAATCTTAATTCCATTGTTCAAGTTTCCACGTAGCGGTTTCACCTATTAGAATAATTTTATCAACAAATAACATTCATCAAAATACCTCATATTAAATATTAATTATATATTTATATATTGTGAGCATATTCATAAAATACAAAAAGATATAAATCTAATATTAGTTATGAGTCATACTATGATTGTAAACTCTTTGATTAGTCTACAACTACTTCTAATACTTTCCAGTGCTCTTTCATATATGTATATACAATATGGTAAGACGCAATGAGATTGAAAAACTCTTATTTAAAAATTTCAAAACTGCAAGCAATGAGAGAGCTCAAATTTTTTTATTTTTTTAATTTTAGGTGGAAAGATGTGTATTCTAACTTAAAAGGGAAACTCACTTCTATTCAATCTAGATTTATATTTATATACTATATATCAAGCCATAGTGGAAGAGAAGGTATATTATTTTTGAAGCTAAATAAGAAAAGAGCTCTATTTCAAAATTAAAACTAAAGTTGAGAAAAAAATTGTCTAATCATATATCCAATATCTATTCTTAATCTTATCTACCTACTATGTATTATTTTTATGATCTTATTTTCTCCTTGATTAACAAAGAAAATCAATTTAAAAAGAAATTTCTCTTTCCTATTTATGAAAATGTTTAAACCACTTTTAAATTAATTTTCATTAGTTAATAGATAAAAAAGGGAACGCTTGTCATCTTTAAAACTTAACTGAAATAGTATTATTAGTTTGATAGTAATTCTAAAGATTATTATTATAATAATTCTAGAGAGTTGATGCTATATAACAGGTTAAGAATTTTTTTTCCTCATCTATTTTTATACTATATATTATGTTGCACAAAGAAAGAATTTGATGCCCTTAAAGCTAAAGTTAAGGAGAGGGGTCGTCATACAATACAAATAAGCTAGTATAATCCATAAATGACTAGTAGGAATGATATAGAGTAGTTTAAAGAAGTTTGTAAATTATAAACTAAAGGGAAATTATAAACTAAAGGGAATGATATAAATCTGAAGAGGAAACACCAACATGCACACACCAAAAAAGAAAAAAGAAAAAAAAGAAGCAGTGTTACCCAGTCTGGTGAGTTCTCTTGTAGGCGACTTTCTCCATTTGTTTTCTTACTTCGATGACTCCTTTTGTTCCTTGCTTGCTTTTTGAACGATTATTCTTCTTGAATTCCTTGCCTTAATATGCTTTCTCTCTTCTACCTTGAATGACACTCAACCATTAATTGCTTGTTTTTAATTTCAGGTTGGATGGGTTTAGTGAGAGAGGGATGGTGTTTCTAGTTAGAGAGAGGGTATTTTATGGTTTTTGGAGTGAGAAATTCCCTTGTGATTGAAAGTTTCAAGGTAAGGAGCTTGATGTATTCGGCTATAGAGAGCGGATAGGGAAAGTGAGCGAGAGATTTAATTTATGAATAATTAAATGATTACATGAGCCCTTATTTATAGACATAGGGTGTCAATAAAATACAACAACAACAACATCAAGCCTTTGTCCCACTACGTGGGGTCGGCTACATGAATCCTTTTTCGCCCTTGTGTCCGGTTAAAAGTTAATTTCTCATTTAAATCTAATAAAGAAAGATCATTTCTAATATTTTCTAACCAAGTCTTTTTAGGTCTACCTCTACCTTTCTTAACATAAGCCAAATCTAATACCTCAACTTTCCTACCAGGGTCATCGGAAGGCCTCCGTTTAAACCGAAATAGGAAAATACTTGGTCAAACCACCTTGTGTTTGAACATAAGTAATAGCTCCTGCATATATATCTTTAATGATTTGAATATAAGCATTATTAACTCTTTTCTTTTCAAGAACTCTCCATAGCACTTCTCTTGGAACTTTATCAGATGCTTTCTCTAAATCAATAAATATCATATGTATATCCTCCTTATTCTCTCTATATTTCTCCATCAAACCTCTCAATAAATGTATGGCTTCCATAGTAGACCTACTCGGCATGAATCCAAATGAAAATCTTAAGATAAGCTAACAAATAAGTAAAGTTTCTTATATGATAACCATTCTCATAACAAACCCAAAATTCCTAAAATCAAAGGTTTTTTTACTCATTCAAAACTTCTCTCTCCATAGGCCAACCTCCTTTGTCTTTTGGATAGATTTGTGAAAAAGTAAAGTAGGCCTTGACTTGTGTAACTAATATTGGCTCATCCAATCTGGTTGGAGGTAGTTTTTGTTTAATCAAAACTCCTCCTTTTCATTCGGTGGTCGATTTTGTTATGCTGAATTTTTCAATTTGTCAACCCCCGTGCTGACATCATGTAGCCTTTTGTACTTGATGGGCCCCTAAGGGCCTTTCTATCCTTTCTATCCTTGACCTGGGCTTGACATTGAGTTTAACATTAACTTGACTTTAAGCTTGATGTAGCTAATCTTAAGGCTAGCCCAATGCTTGTGAACCCTTTTGGTCCTCCAATTTGGCTTGGTTAGCTGATTAACCAAGCTCAATTGCTTGGAAGAGCCTTTTGGATCAATCTTTCATGATTAAAATAGCCCGATACAAATTTCCGCGCATACAAAAAGGGTAAACATGATAACTTTAAAACTAAATCTTAAAGCCCCAGCTAATTGGAGCATATTCCTCCTCTTTTCATGGTTTCAATCCTCTTTTTGTGGCCATTCCTCCTTGATTCAAAATTGGATTTGATTTCACAATTTTAATTCTTCCTTGTTTTTATTATCCTGTCTTTTTTTTTATTTGAATTTCTGCCTTTATTCAAGATTGGCAGTGCCTTTCATGGAGGTTGAGAGAGAAACGGTTGTAGGCCTTGTGTTTTGCTCTCATTCACTCTAGCGTGCCATGCACAAGTGTTATTTTTCATGTATGATTTTTTATGACCCTAGAGCGTCTGGATCTCTAACTTTGGTCTTTCTATGTAATTTTGTTGAGATGAAATCATTCTATGTATTCGATCATGCCATAGAAACTAGGATACATTTACCTTTTGAAGTTGTGTCCTTTTTAACTTTTCCAATACATAGAATATGAGCAGGGATTTCTCTTGTGGCACAATAGTTTTTTTTATGCATGCCGTTAGATTCCATTATTTTCTTGAGCATTAATAGCTTGCTTCTCATTGAAACCTTTCTCATGTTTATTCCTCTTTATGCTTCCTGATTCTCTCGCTCCTGTTCTTTTCTTTTTTAAAATTCCATGTCATAGCTAATCTATCTGATGAGGACATCGCTTAGAGCTTCAGATATGTGTACCGGCGACGGAATCGTAGATCGACGGTTATGATTCAGCGTCTTTACTTTTGACGCTTTATGTTTTATCTAGTCTTGTTGTATGCATGATGTTTTATTTAGTTTTTGTTATTTTTCCGCTTTTACCCTTATGGGGAGTATCTTGTCATTGTAGCCCGGAGGGCAAGTTTGTACTTTTCTTTTCATGTTGAGAGGCCTATATATAGTGGCCCTATGTGTTGTAAAAGGATGATGAATGTTTAATAAAAAATTTATTGTGTTTCTTCTTTTTGTGTGATCACTAGAGGGAAGGGAGAGAGCTCGAGGTGAGCAAGTGCAAGGCCCACCAGTCGTTGGAAGAGTCCACGGCTCGTGGTAATTTCTTCTTTTCTATTTTAGTTGAGTTTCCCTCATCCTCCTTCCCCTCTCCACCCACCGGATCCTTCCCAAGCCTACCTCCACCGATTGATTAACCTCTCCCATCCATTTCATCCTCTGGCTCCACCACATCAAGTCCAACCACCATCCAAGCCCACCTCAACTCGACGACAAATCCCTCTTCCCCTTTGATCGCCGGCCACCTCCTCATTCATCAAGCCATTATGATGATTTCAATTTTCAATCATCATAATGACTCCCTAACTTAGATCTAGCATTAAGGAATAAATTTGTGAAATTCAAAACTTTCCTTATTTGCGAAATCTAAATAAGAAAAGTTTCTAAATTTGAATCCATTCGAAATTTAATTTTGGAGGATTCAATATTTTTTCGCCTCATTATCATATCTTATTTGGAAAGAGCCTAAATCCTCCCTAATCCCTTTTTCCCCTCTCTCCATGCCGCCGACCTCATGCTTGGCTTCCCCCCATTAAATCCCCAATCAATGCATTAATTACAAATTAATTTGAAATCAAATTTCAAATTAGTTTCCCTCCAAATTCACTCAAATTCTGAAATTAATTTCAAGTTTAGGAATAAAACCTCTCCCTCTCTCTCCATGCTGACGGCCCCATGCTTGGGCCCCTCCCATTAATCCTCAATCAATGCCTTAATTACAATTAATTTGAAATCAAATTTCAAATTGGTCTCCCTCCTAATTTACTCAAATCCTGAAATTAATTTCAGGTTTGGAATAAAACCTCTCTTCCTCTCTTGGATCAAACCTAATTCTCCCATCCAAGCCGCCCCCTCTTCTCCACCTTTGGTCGCCCCTTTTCTTGGCGTTCTCTCCTCCTCATGCTTATGGTGCATGGCCGATCCTGAAGTCGATCACGGCTTCACTTACAACGACCGAGGGGAAATCAACATCCTCCTCTCCCCCTTCTATGAGCCTGACTGGCAATACGACAAAACGGTGGAAAGATATGTCAAGTGCATCCTCTATTGCTTAGCAGAGACGATCGACCTTCAAAAGCCTAAGACGCCTTGGCTTCTCGTTGGGAGATCTACCCCTTCTCCGTCTGTGGCTACCTCTCCATCAACAAAGACCTTCAGAACCATCTTCCTAGTGACAGTTTCTCTCATTGTATGCTTCATCTTCAACTATTAAGCCTAAGAGTGATTGAGTGAGTAGGAACTCTAAGTGACCATGTCTTGATGTTACACTGTGGATTCTTGATTACTTGCTATTAGAACTACTATTTAATTTTTGTTGTTATTGCAATTATCTTGCTAACCTCTTGTAACGGCTTACCATTACCTAATCTTCCATCGGAAAGTTCTAAGAATTTAACTTGATTGAAGCATGAGTTACTAATTAGCAATGTGCAAATTCAGCCTTTATTGTTACAATTCCAAAGCAACAATTCCAAACCGAAAATGACCCAAAAATGGTCCTTGCCCAGTTGCCCGCGTCGACTGCCCGATTGCCCGACGCGTCAAGTCGCGTCCTTGCCCGGCTTCTCGGTTGCCCGACTCGTCAAGTCGCGCCTTTGCGGTTCGCGTGCCAACACGGCAGAGGCGTAGAGTTTGCTTCGGCTTCGCCGCTCGCGTGCCAGTTACTCGCCCCAGCTTGGGGTTTGGCCGTTCGAGTTCAGTCGTGAGTCGCGACGCGTGCCGAGTGCCAACTAGTCGCTGGCCGCTGTGCCGCCTGGTCCGTTGTGCGCGCTTGCTGCAGCCGCGCCGCCGCTGCCGGCGACCACTTCCATTTTAAATAATCGGGTCGGGTCGTGTCAACCCGGCAACCCGCACGGGTCGGTCCGGGTTGAGATAGCTGAACTGTTTATAAAAATGGGTCGGGTTCGGGTTGACCCATTTAGAACCAGGTCAACTCAGGTTCGACCCGAGCCCGACCCGTCGACCCGAATTGACACCTTTATTGTAGCCCGGAGGGCAAGTTTGTACTTTTCTTTTCATGTTGAGAGACCTATATATATAGTGGCCCTATTTGTTGTAAAAGGATGATGAATGTTTAATGAAAAATTTAATGTGTTTCTTCTTCTTCATGTGTGATCACTAGAGGGAAGGGAGAGAGCTCGAGGTGAGCAAGCGCAAGGCCCACCAGTTGTTGGAAGAAAATCCACGGCTTGTAGTAATTTCTTCTTTTCTATTTTAGTTGAGTTTCCCTCATCCTCCTTCCCCTCTCCACCCGCCGGCTCCTTCCCAAGCCTAGCTCCACCGATTGCTTAACCTCTCTCATCCATTTCATCCTCTAGCTCCACCACATCAAGCCCAACCACCATCCAAACCCATCTCAACCTGACAGCAAATCCCTCTTCCCCTTTGGCCGCCGGCCACCTCCTCATTCATCAAGCCATTATCATAATGACTCCCTAACTTAGATCTAGCATTAAGGAAGAAATTTGTGAATTTTTGAAATTCAGAACTTTCCTTATTTGCGAAATATAAATAAGGAAAGTTTCTTAATTTGAATCCATTCGAAATTTAATTTTGGAGGATTCATTATTATTATTATTATTATTTTTAGAGGATTCATTATTTTCCCGCCTCTTTGTCATATCTTGTTTGGAAAGAGTCTAAATCCTCCCTAATCCCTTTTCCCCCTCTCTCCATGACGCCGGCCTCATGCTTGGCTTCCCCCCATTAAATCCCCAATCAATGCATTAATTACAAATTAATTTGAAATCAAATTTCAAATTAGTTTCCCTCCAAATTCACTCAAATCCTGAAATTAATTTCAGGTTTAGGAATAAAACCTCTCTCCCTCTCTCTCTATGACGCCGGCCCCATGCTTGGGCCCCTCCCATTAATCCTCAATCAATGCCTTAATTACAATTAATTTGAAATCAAATTTCAAATTGGTCTCCCTTCAAATTTACTCAAATCCTGAAATTAATTTTCAGGTTGGAATAAAACCTCTCTTCCTCTCTTGGATCAAACCTAATTGTCCCACCCAAGCCGCCCCCTCTTCTCCACCTTTGGCCGCCCCTTCTCTTGGCGTTCTCTCCTCCTCATGCTTATGGTGTATGGCCGATCCTGAAGTCGATCACGGCTTCGTTTACAACGACTGAGGAGAAATCGACATCCTCCTCTCCCCCTTCTACGGCCTGACTGGGAATACGACGAAATGGTGTAAAGGTATGTCTAGCGCATCCTTGATTGCTTAGCAGAGACAATCGATCTTCAAAAGCCTAAGACGCCTTGGCTTCTCGTTGGGAGATCTACCCCTTCTCCGTCCGTGGCTACCTCTCCATCAACAAAGACATTCAGAATGATCTTCCTAGTGGCAGTTTCTCTCATCGTATGCTTCATCTTCAACCGCTAAGCCTAAGAGTGATTGAGTGAGTAGGAACTCTTAAGTGACCATGTCTTGATGTTACGCTGTGGATTCTTGATTACTTGCTATTATAACTACTATTTAATTTTTGTTGTTATTGCAATTGTCTTGCTAACCTCTTGTAACGGCTTACCATTACCTAATCTTCCAATGGAAAGTTCTAAGAATTTAACTTGATTGAAGCATGAGTTACTAATTAGCAATGTGCTAATTCAATCTTTATTGTTACAATTCCAAAGCAACACTTCGCATATTTGTCTTACATCACTATCAAGGCTAAACAGCTTAAATATTTCCAAAATCTACTTTAACATCTCTAGCAAATTGAGAGCCTACTCATGATCCCTCAACTATTCCTTCAGTTATCCATTTTTAACTAGTATGATAACCCAAGTAAAGTCATGTCGTTAACTTGTCCAAATTATAAATATTAGTGCTTTGAATCCGTTAAAATCTATTTACTTACGCCATGAAATGGCGATTCTCATGTGCTGTAGCCACTAATTAGGGTCACACACCATTGAGTAAGGTGCTTTTGGACCTTCAACAGCTTACACATGATTTCCCTTATTGCAGATGTTATGTTTTGGAGGAAGGCTTTCTTGTACTAATCTTATGCTGGGTCACAGGCTTGGTTCATTCGTCGCTGTCATGTGAGACATTTGCATTTGAACATACCCCTACTGAAAAAGCTTAGAATAGTAGTATCATGTTGCATCCATTACTGTATCATTAATGTTTAAGCATATCCTTTTAATAATGAACGATATAATAACATAGTCCAACTGGAAAAGATCATAACAGCAGCGTCATTCTGTATCCACTATTTTGTCATGCATGATTAAGCTTGCCTCTTATTATGGATGACACTGAACAAAATTTTAACTATTATATAGATTAGTATTTGATATACATTTATAATTCCATATTTTCATGTCCTGTTACCTGTATTTTTCTTCAGGGTGACAAGCTGGATTATGAAAAATAATTTAACATCTAAATTTAGTCAATGTTCCTATAGTTCATTTTCTTGTGTTTCCTTAGCTTCTTTTGGTGCAAAGTGTTATGAAGTGGGGTATATAAATATATATTTCTAGAACTGTTACCCGATCTCCCTTTGAAGCTTCTTTCTTATGCGGTTGTTTGTATTTTTTTTTTTTGTAGACTAGAAAGATTTTAATTTTATGTTACTGATGTTTGCTGTTTTTTTTGCAGCATAGAATTTGACCGTGATGATGAATTGTTTGCTACAGCTGGCGTTTCCAAATGCATTAAAGTTTTTGACTACGCTGCAGTAAGTCCCTAGGTATTTCCATTTCTCAGAAACATCTTTGAAATTTCAAGTTTAATGGATTCCTTGGAAGTTCTTTCCAGGTTGTTAATGAACCAGCTGATGTACACTGCCCTGTTGTAGAAATGTCCACACGTTTCAAACTTAGTTGCTTGAGTTGGAATAAGTACTCAAAGAACATCATTGCAAGTAGTGACTATGAAGGAACTGTAACTGTTTGGGACGTAAATACACGCCAGGTAGCAAAATTTTCTTGTATATATTTATGATATTTACTGTGAATTTTTTATTCTTAAAATGTGAACATTTTCCTATGTTCAAGAGTGTCATGGAGTATGAAGAACATGAAAAGAGAGCATGGAGTGTTGACTTTTCACGTACAGAGCCATCAATGCTTGTTTCCGGAAGCGATGATTACAAGGTAATTTTTATACACAGATTTGCATTGGCGGTCAGCTTCTGATTTCTGCTTTATAATCTTGCTCATATTGATCTCATTTTGCGTAGTATATTTTTATTTAATCTAGCTATCCATCTTAATTGATGCGTGCCTTTAGCAGTGAGGGTTTTAAAATCTTACGAACGTCATAAATTTTTAAGCAACCTCCAGTTTGTGCATGCATGGTTGAATAAATATTTGTTTTTTCTTCTCGAGAAGGGCGGGTTAGTGTGTTGAGCTTGTGGAATCAATATTAGTGTCGTTTAAATCATCTAGCAGAATGTAACTCTCTAATTAGCTAAGAGCAAGAGGGAGGGCAGATTATGTACGGTTACTACAGTGGTTGAATGTTACCTTTGCAGTCTTCTTCCAACGAATGAATGTATCCATGCATGTGGCTTGTACTTACTTCCAATTTCTTTTGAGCTCGACCATGTTCAAAACTTGCTCTGAATAAATTCTGTGAATTTCTTATGTTAGTAGTCAAATCTTTGAAGTTGATTAATACTCTTAAGTTGTGCAAAATGTAATTATAGACCTTCCATGATTATTGGATTGAGACTGCGATAGAAAATACTTGAGTTCGCAAGTAACCTTAAGGGAAATACTTGAGTTTGCAAGCAAACCAATCACTAATTGGTGAAAACAGTAAGAATAATGCAAAATCTGGGAATCAGCCCCAAAACAATGGATTGCAATATGATAATCAAAGCCAAACAAACACGAACACAAGATACAAGGGATCCTCAATTTGAGAGGAGGATCGTCTTTCCCAAATCTCTAGACAAGGTAGTCTAGAGCCCAAGACGCCAAGGAACTTCAAGAGAAATCAAAATCCAGCATAAACCCTAATGCTTCCCTAAAAGAAACTAATTAAAGACAAAGGACAATTACAATTTTCCTAAACAGCCCCCTAATTCAAAAATTTCCTCCAAAGCAAATTAAATTAGCATGTCGGCCCTCTAGGAGCATCCACCCCTCCCTCTCTCTCTTCTCTGGTTCCGCCCAATTTGGGCCGCCTGCTATAGGTGAGAACCGGTCCACTAGGGACCGGTTCAACCGGCCCAGGAGGGGCCGGCCTAACAGACTGATGAGACATTTAATGTACATTCTCCTCTTGTTTTCATTAAAAGCATACCAGAGTAAGCATGTAATTGTGGTTAGCTAATAATTAAACTAATGTAGGTTTGCCTTCCAATGATTATCAGGTAAAGGTTTGGTGCACAAAGCAAGAAGCAAGTGTTTTTAATATTGACATGAAAGCAAATATTTGTTGCGTGAAATACAATCCCGGTTCAAGCATTTATGTGGCGGTATGCTCCTTATCCTTTCAGTTTCTTTTTGCTTTGATCACTTCATTAATGGGTTCATTAGGTGGTAATTGGTATGCAATTTTTCAGGTGGGTTCTGCAGACCATAGTATTCACTATTTTGATTTGAGAAAGACTAGTACACCAGTACATGTTTTCAGAGGACACAGAAAGGCTGTTTCATACGTGAAATTTTTATCTACTAATGAGCTTGCATCGGCCTCAACTGACAGCACATTGCGCTTGTGGGATGTAAAGGATAACACGGCAGTACGTTTATCAATTAAGCTTTAGATTCATTCTTATTGATAAGTTACAACATTTTCTGTGAACTGTTTTGGATTGGCATTGATGTAGTTTATGTTTTTTTATTGTCAATTATGTTCTGTCGATGTACTTGTCATAAATCTCCATTAATTACTGTAGTTTGCTGTCCTGGTATTGTTCCTGCTACAAGCTCAATTCAAGCTCAGAACTAAATTATCATACCAGGCTTTGGAAAGGAGAAAACTACATGGGTTTTGGGCATGGGAGTGTCTGCATATGCAGTTTAAGGCTTCGTTTGGGACCGCTTTCTTTCTGCTTCTCAAAGCAGTTTTTTAGTACAAAATTAAAAATTTTGTACTAAAAAGTTGTTTTGAGAAGCAGAAAGAAAGCCGTCCCAAACGAAGCCTAAGTCTACAACGTTAAAAATAATAAGTTCCCAGTGATTTGGTGCCAAATTGTTAAAGTTGTTGCATATTACTCCAATTTTTTTAATTTATCGTATTTTTTGGTTGAATTTCTCATTGATGGCTTCGGGCCCACTTTTACTTAGATCAGAAGTAACTTCAACTTTATGGATTTTTTCTAGTCTTATGGGCTTAACCATGAAGCTTTTGTTCAGGTGAGAACTTTCAGAGGCCACACCAACGAGAAGAATTTTGTTGGTCTTACAGTAAACAATGAGTACATTGCTTGCGGAAGTGAAACAAATGATGTTTTTGTATATCACAAGGTAAACTATACTCATCAAATTTTCCGTACTTCTAATTCATTTAAGCCTGTTTTTCTTCTGATTAATGATCTCTTGCAGGCCATTTCCAAGCCAGCAGCCTGGCATAGATTAGGCTCCCCTGACCTTGACGACACAGATGATGACCCCGGATCATATTTCATCAGTGCTGTTTGCTGGAAGAGTGATAGCCCTACAATGCTGGCAGCCAACAGTCAAGGCACTATCAAAGTCCTTGTGCTAGCGGCTTGAGGTCCAAACAATTGGGAAATTATTGGGTTCGGACACCGGATGCCGTCCAGAGTCCAATGAAAATGCGCCACATCACCCCCTACTCGGTACTGAGCATTACCAAGCAGTACCGAGCTCGGTACTGGATAACGTGGCTGCACCTGATTGATCTCCGAACGATAAGCTGTGTCCGGTGTTCAAACCCAATAATTTCCCCCAAACAATCATATTATGTGCATTACAATAGCCTATGGAGATCATTTTTTTTTTTTGGGCTGTTAAATATTATGTTATTTGGATAGCCCTGCTCCTAGCTAACATTTCTTGGTGAAATCCCTTAGCAAGCTCATTGCTTTTTCACCTTCAGTCCAGCAAACTAGCTGGAAGATTGGTTTCCAGCACATGAAAAACTGGGCTGGTGGCCTGCGATTTTCTTCTTCGGGGGTACTTAGTACTAGAACTTTCTTTCTGAGAAAGAAAAATTGTTTATAGTATTGCTTGTATATGTGTGTTTTTGGGAAAATTATTAGGTGCGAGGATGTAGAGATACGTCCATACTTCCACTTAAAATGTGACACGTGGAGTGCGCTTTAGTTGCATTTTAATTGCTCTTTAACTACTCTTTTGTTGCGCTTTGGTTGCGCTTTGGCTGCGCTTGGCTTAAAGTTTCGCTGACACATTAAATATATAAAGTACCTCAACGTGTCAAAAATTTATTGGAATCCGGATGTATCTCTAGGTCCAGTGTCCGCACCTAATAATTTTCCGTGTTTTTTGGGTGCCAACGCTATGATAGGAGGTTTTCTCGTACATATGGATCTGCAGAAGGATGATAACCGGCACAGGAAAGAGTTTGGAAGTGGTTCTCATTGCTGGCAAGTACATACATTTGTGCTATGTAAAATAACTTCTACTATATATAAATGAAAAGTTTCAGTTGTTGGCTTGCAGGCTGTAACAATTGCCATTGTAGTATTTAAACGTTTTTGAGAAATCAAGTTTCGTTTCAGTTTCACAAGGTCCTGTTTTTTGTGTCCATTTTTTAGATTTTATTTTAAAAAAATGAATTTAAAATATAAGATAGTAGAATTATTTTAATTTTTTTTTTGGAAAACAAGTAACTTTGTTTTAAAATTTTTCAAATTGTCATGACTGCTGGGCAACATTTATTAAGTTATTTTGCAGCTCCGTTGTTATCATAGAGTTGGCTTTGTTTGGGATAATTTTTGACAATTATCTCGAATGCGTCCGGTGATCAGTCTGGATACGTTATGTCATCAAATGCACTATGCATTGGGTGATATGGTGTATCAATCCTTTATTTTAAAAGCTATAAGAAAGCTATATCAAATGAGGCATTTATTCTTTGAGAGATTATTTTGTGCGGGATGCGTCACCTCATGAAATGTATTGTGTATTCGGTGATGTGGCACGATTTGCCTCTGAATTCATCTAGAAACCATACGTAATACTTTTTCTTATTCGTAATAATAGTTGATTATTTTCTATTTAAAAGATATAGATATGTAAAATTAAAAATAATAATTTTATTTTAAAGAGATTTATACATATAACAATTAAAAATAATTCATTTACATAACTAATATAAGAAATTTTAAATTTGCTTATTTATCATTTTATTTTTTTAAATAATATAAAAACCATTTTCTACCTTTGCTGCAAATTTTGGGCGTTCGTGAATGAAATATTTGTTTACTAAATAGAAAATTTTAGACGTTAAACATTAAAAAAAAACCCCAAACGGCTACAAAACTCGTAGAAATGAATGATTCCGTTTTCCACTTTAATTTATCTTAGTGTTAATGACAGCATTGTTTATTAGTGGCCTTCGATCGTTAATGACTCTTAGACGGTTGCTGCAGAGTAATTAGTTGAATTGTTAATGCAAATTGCAAAGTCATTTAAGAATTCCTAACATGTAAAACGCCATTCAAACACCCAAAAACAAAACCTTCGAAGTAAATAATCTGAAGAAAAAAACTTCTTCTCCTGACCAGTGGAAGAACATGGACTTCCATCAAGATGAATGGGTCATCAAAATCAGGAAATCACTCCAAGAAGAGATTGAAGAGGATGAAGAAGATGATGGCGATTATGAGTTCCATGTTTCCATCACTTCAGTCCCCAACTCTCTAAAATCGGCCGCTCCTGAATCATATATTCCTCAACTCATCGCCATTGGCCCCTACCACCATTTTCGAGCTGATCTCAACGACATGGCTCGGTTTAAGCTCTCTGCTGCAAAAAGAATTCAGAAGCAGTTACACGGCCTGAAGCTCCAGGATATTGTGGATGAATTTGGCAAGGCAGAGCACAAGATTAGGGCGCATTACGACAGGTAATTTGCTTTTCTGTTCTTATCAATTCTCTGTTTGCATAAACTCAGATTATCAATATATACAAAAGATGAAAAAGAAAGGTTCCAATTTAAGGAGCACTTTGAATATTGTTGAAAACTAGGTGGTTTCATAGTTTCAGAGATCACCTAACCAATTTCAAAAATATGAAATCAAAATAGGATAATATGAAACTGTGAGGTTTACGTGATGTGTCACGTCACTCGGATGCACCAACCCCGGGTGATGTGACTTATTCAAATTCGCCTCCGAACAAATACGGATGCCACACGTAATAATTTTCCCGGATTGTAATAGTACTTTGATGATTTATCATGAAACCTAATATAATGTCATATCAAAATTTCATAGTACACTCTACTAGTGATAATGAGATTTCACGCTGCTTGAATTTAAGAAACACTATGATTAGTTATCCTTATTTAAGAATTTGATGAAACTAATATCCTTGTTGGCAAAACTTTGAATCTATTGCCTTTTCTCAGAAGGAATATAGAGCTACAAGTTTTGCACAGATAGCCCAACAAAATATGGTAAAAAATTTAACTTACAAAGATCTAAATTTGAAAATAGAAAATAGGAACTAAAACAAGGATAGAATTTGTTGGCTTTTAGGCCAAAAGGAATCAAGGGAGGATCCGGTCTTAATTTTAAGGGGGGCAAATTTATAAGTAAAGTGTGGAGTTTTTTTTTTTCATAAATATCCTTACAAATAAAATTTATTCCGAGGGAGCTACCTCTCGACCCCTATTTGTTCATCATTGTACGTTTCACAGATATGTCAGGGGTCTAAGGGTACAATGCCCTTTGGCGGGGTTCGACCTGATCGGTTAGGTCAAGGGGACAAGGAGCAGCGCCCTTGCGGGGGTTTTCAAGGGCAGCGCCCCCGAACAAATTTTGGTTGTAAGGATATTTTTGGATTCTCTTTACTATTTATCTTTGAATTTGGTTCATTGTTCTCTAACAATAACATCTCTACCTAATGCGTTTAATTATGTTGGGGCAATTGCCTAAAGACCATAGTATTTTAAAACTTTTAGGGGGGGATTGCCTAAAAACTCTTGTAATAAAGACTAAAAAATACATGAAGGACAAATTACCTAAAGAATCATATAATAATTGCCCCCGGTCTCAAGATGGATCCACCCATGAGAGGAATACCAGAATTTAACAGTGTAATCTGCCATTTTGTCTGACATCAGATATTTCAACTTAAGTGTGGAGTACTTATCATGGATGATGGCCATTGATGCATGCTTCCTACTTCAATTCCTTCGAGCCTATGCCGTCGATGATGCAAAAGCTCTGCAAGGATTATCACCTTTCATGTCAAGGAGGAAATCCACACACAATTCAGTACTCAGAGACATTCTAATGCTGGAGAATCAGATACCACTCTTCCTGCTAAGAAAAGTTTTAGACTTTGGTTGTACTTCCACAGAAGAAGCAGATAACTTGCTTTCAACAATGCTGAAAAACTTCATAATGGTGATTTCACCATTAAAGATAACAATAGAGAACTTCCCACAAAATTTTGATGCCAAAAAAAGCTCTCACTTGCTAGAAGTCATCTACACCTTATTTGTTCCCGAAAGTTCACTACTGTCAGAGACTGCTGAGGCCGAAGATGAAGAAGACAACAATTCATTAAACAATCAAGCTCAAAAATTTTTTAATCATGCCAAGCAAGTGATCATATCTTGGCCAATCAAACTCCTACTGAAGTTTTCTTTTGGAATACTCACAAATCTTCCTGGTTTTTTGATCTTAAGGCAGTCATTTGAGTATTTTTCTCAATCTGAGAACACCAGATCTGCAGATTCAAACTTGCCAAACAACTGCAACATAAAAAAACCACCTTTGACAGAAGAAATCGAGATACCATCAGCGACAGAGCTCGTCGGTGCCGGCATTCGTTTCTTGCCTACAAATCCGCCATTGTCTGAAATCTTGTTTGATTCAAAGACAGGAACTTTGCACCTACCTGCCATAACCATTGATGCCAACACTGAAGCATTGTTGAGGAACTTGGTGGCCTATGAGACTGCGGTGGCCTCTGGACCTCTGGTTTTCACTCGTTACATTGAGCTGATGAACGGGATTGTCGACACAGAAGAGGATACGAAGGTTTTGAGGAAAAAAGGAGTGATTTTGAACGGGTTGAAGAGTGATGCAAAAGTTGCTGTACTTTGGAATGATATGAGCAGGTCGGTAAGGCTTACAAAGGTGGTGTTTTTGGACAAAGTTATTGAAGATGTGAACGTTTATTATAATAAAAGTTGGAAGGTAAAGGCTAAGAGATTAGTTAGGATATATGTGTTGGGTTCATGGCAGTTTCTTGTGTTTGTAGCGGCTGTTTTGCTATTGTTGCTTGTGAGCTTGCAGGCCTTTTGCTCTCTCTTTAGTTGCACACATAGAGGAGAGAAAACAAAAGTAAACTGATTGAAACATCAATATTCAGTTGTTATTTAATTGTGAGGATCATCAAGTTACAAATTCTAATTTTTAATGTGTGATTCAGCCTCATGTTGATTGATGGAGCGCATCTTTTTTGTTTTATGACTAAACAATGGACGTATTGATATAGATCGAGAAGCCTCATTAAGACCAGCATGAATTTCAACATAAGAGTTTGAAAGTAAGAGGACTCAAATAAAGTTTTTGAAGGACTAATCAAGCCTTATTTTTGGAGAAACTATTCTATGCGGAATCTGAATGGAAAGAACCGTCTAGACGTGTGATGACACACATTATGTACTGTATACACAGTTTGTGTACACTCACAGTTCGGACGATTCTTCCCATTCAGATTCCGCACAAAATAATTTCTCTTATTTTTTAGACAACTTTTTTTGCTTTTATTTTAAAAAATGAAAATATACAAAAGGGTGGAGTTATGAATAAATGGTAGTGAAGATGATAGGTTGAGGGATATCTTCATGCCCAAGCAAATCTACTAGTACAAATAAAAGTTTCTTTTTTTCTATTTAAAAATACATATATGTAAAAATAACAATAATAATCTGTTTGATCATGCCAAGAAAGTGATCATATCCTAGCTAGTCAAGCTCCTACTGAAGTTTTCTTTTGGAATACTCACAAATCTTTTGGACCTTTTGATCTTAAGGCAATCATTTGAGTTCTTTTTTCAAGCTAAGAACACCAGGTCTACAGATTCAAACTTGTCAAACAGCTGCAACATAAACAAACCACCTTTGACAGAAGAAATCATCAGTGACAGAGATAATCAGTGCTGGAATTTTATTAGTAACTCTAAAGTTAAGCATGCTCATATAAGAGCAGCTCTAAGATGAGTGATCTTATGGAAAGTTATCCAGAGGGATAAAATCATGAGACGAAAGCTAAAGAGAACAATATATCCATAGTTGAGAGTTTGGGTTATTACATTGTGTTCGTCATCTATCATCTTCAATGGATAAGATTGAGTTGATGAAGAGGCGGAACCAAGCTTTGCACGATCGTAGGATTCAATATCGGCCGTCCATTCGACCACTCCCTATTCGCCCCTGATCTCACGCCTATTTACGGGTCATGCCACTCCAGAAAATCTATAAATAGAGCCCTCATTTCTCATGAGAGGGGATCTAAGCAAGAAAGAGAAGAAGAGAAGAGAAGGAAGAAGAGAAGGAAGAAGCTCCTCCTCGACAGCCGCCGGACCACCGCCGGACCACCACAGGAGCACCCCCGGACCACCGCAGGAGTTTCATTGCACCACCGCCTTAAGGCCCGACGTTCAGACCCGACATCCTGTTGAAGACCCGACATCCTGCTTAAGGCCCGACGTTCAGACCCGACGTCCTATTGAAGACCCAACGTTCTGCTCAACGTCTGCTCAAGGCCAGATTATCAACACCCGAACTTCCAAGTGACACCGGGTCTAACACCTGATTCCAATCGAGCAGTTACTAGTTGTAATCTGATCGACCTTAGAGGTGATTCAGTCCTTTGTAACCGACTCAAATTCTAGTTAAATTATTTTTCAACTGGACTAGGCCCCATGGTTTTTTCCCTTTTTAGGGGTTTTCCACGTAAAAAATCTTGCTTTCTCTGTGTGTGAGCTAGTTATCCGTACAACGTTAAGACGCAGAATTAAATCTCTATCGCCGCGTATTTTCTAGCCCGTAATAGTTGGCGCCATCTGTGGGAACAGTCAATCCCACTATATTAAATTACTCCTCTAATGGCCAACAGGCGTAGCCATCGCATCATGGGAACCTCCCGTTCTAATTCACACCAATCCAGGAATCAGTCCCTGAATCAGGGACGACAGGCGTCTGCCTCTTTTCACCCCAATGGCCGAAACCTTGCCGGGGAAGGAACTTCAGGGCCATCCCTAGAAGAACGTATCAGAAAGATGGAGTAATCTCAGATTGAGATCCTTCAACTCTTAAGGGAAACTCGAGGACCAGCACTAGAACCTCAGGAAGATATTCTCCTCCCTCAAGACCAACCAGGTTTCGAAGATGTTCTTCATGTTGAGGTCCCCCTTCCTCCGCCAAGAATGCGCCCTTCAATACGTCCAGAGAATGAGCTTGCTGACACGGCAAGCTCTACCCATCCTTCGCGCACAGGCCATCGGCATCACATCCCTCCGGATGTACCCAAGGACTTGGACCAACAGCACATCACTGAACTCCCCCGTAATACCATACGGCATGAATTACGGAGACTAGTCCGAGAAGAGTTCCCCATAGGGGATATAAGGCAATCTCTTCATCAACGAGACATTCAGGAGTCATCACCTTTCACAGAAGCTGTCCTCCGATACCCCATTCCGGCAAGATTCAAACTCCCGAATATTGATTACGATGGGACTTCAGACCCCTATGAGTATATCGATCACTACCGCACCATTATGCATATCCAGCGGGCCCCATATGCTTTACTCTACCAAGTTTTTTCTGCCACCCTTAAAGGGCAGGCCCGGACATGGTTCAACTCACTGCCTGCTCGATCCATCCCATTATTCGTTAAATTGGCCAAATTATTTGTCGAATAATTTGTCGTCAACCGAAGGATGGTTAAGGATTCCTCCCACCTTTTAGGGATACGTCAGAATGAGGGTGAATCTCTTAAAGAGTACTTTCAAAGGTTTTCACAGAAGCCCGACAAATTCCAGGAGTAGATCCCGAATTGTTTAGTGGTGTATTTCTTGGAGGGCTTCGCCCGGGCCCCTTCTACTCGGCACTCATGCGAGAAACGGTCCACTCATATGCGGATCTAATCCATCGAGTAGATGTCCAGATTACTGCCGATGAAGCCTTCAATGCTCATAGGAAGCAAATTGAGCAAACAACCGGGAAGCGTAAAAATCCCCTAGGGATGGAGAATCCCCCTTTACAAAGGAAGAAGCAAGGAAACTATAATCTTCCTCCTCGACCCTCACAGCCGCGACGAGAGCCCCACCAAGAAAAAGAGTACACGCCACTTAATACATCCCGAGTGAATGTATTGATGGCCATCCGAGATCAGGAGAGTGTGAAGTGGCCATACCCTTTAAAGCCCAATGCCGGAAACCAAGAGCAATATTGTCACTTCCACCGCAGTCGTGGACACACTACTGAAGCATGCAGGCAGCTCAAGGAAGAAATTGAGAGACTGATCCGACAAGGATACCTCCGACAATTCATCAAGAATCCAACAGCCCTATAAGAGGTTGGTCTGATTGGGGGGAAAAATCAGCAATAAAAACAGTCGACGAACAATCGCTAAATAGTGGGAGAAATTGAAACCATTGTTGGGGGCCCTTCAACGCCTTGTCAAGTTCTGATGGCGGAGAACAAAGAGCCACCTACAAATAAACTTCATGCTGATCACTCCATCACCTTCGAAGAGTCCGATCTAGAAG